CTTCTGATAAGCACTGTTGAGACAAGTCAGTTATAGAACTGTCTAAATCTGTCTGTCTGGTGCTCCATTAAAGACAAGGGCCAAACTTAAGGACTTGAAAAAGTAGGCGAGGAATTAAGTTCACTTCAGTGGACCGAACCTCATTCAAATAATGTTCACTTTTTTTTTTCGCCTTTCTTTACCTGAGCAAAAATCACTTCACTTCACAGACATAGTTAACAGTGAATTCTTAATGCTTCAATAACCAAATCGTTCATAATAATAATACATTTTCTAGATGCAACCCGGTGTTGAAATCAGACTGACAACGTCTGGGCTGACCAGCGTATGCTCACAGTAACCTCCAAATGACCGCTCAGTTTCACCACACGGTGAAAAGAGTGTGTCAATGAATGGAGAGTTAAAGTGTCTTTTACTTTGTTAACAAAACATAAATGCAATGTTACGCACGCCGAACTCAGCATTGGCTGTTCTCCATGGACATCAGTGCTAAACCAAGCGTTTCGACACTGTCGTCGTTAGCACATAGGCGGAGAAATGTTGAATTCTTTCATTTTTGAATGACATTTGGCACAGCAGTTTCGCCATTTGGCTCCCATTGAGACACACGCTTAAGTCACACAGCAGAAACTTTTCCCCAGTGTATTCAGCGACAGTAATTATAACCCCAGTCAACGGTTGAAAACACCAGACGTGTTTAAGACAGTAAAACTAAATAAAAGAGTGAACATACCTGAGAAAAACCGAGGTCAAAGATGTTGTGGAATTTCCTCTGCTCTCTCTTTGGTTCTTATCGTCCAGACAGTTTCGTAGCAGCAGCAGAGGCAGCGTGTGTGTGAGAGTGTGTGTGTCTGTCAGTCACTGGAGTGTGTGACAGTCAAGGCTGCGTGGTTTCTCTTCTCCCGACCCTCCCACTACTCCCACTCCCACCGTAAAGCAGAGCGGAGGAGAGCAGAGTTGACACCGCCGTCGTAGCCACTCCTCTGACAGCTGCACGGCTCCACACTCCACCTAGCGGTCAGCCACTACACGTACGCCAACCGCAATCACGCCAGTGAAATCGTCATCACACATTATGTAATGGTGTCTACGAGGCTCAAATGTGTTCAAATGTGGGTTTCCAAGGACTCGGGTTTCCCCTTAAACCTCCGCGTGGGAATTGCGTGGTGGTTTTCATCTTCCTTTTCTATCACCAACTCTGACACTGACACGCAGCGCAGCCCTGCGTGACCAGGAAGTTCAGTTAACACGGAATCTTTATTTTAGCCCTGGTCTTTCTACAAAGGATTAACTGAAATCTATACTAAACGGGGGGAAAATAATCCCTATTGAACATATGAATTAAACTACAATTCACGACACGGTAACGTGAGAGTGAAAATCCCACAAAGACCACAACAGTTAATGTCAAAAGTGAAGAGTTTGACATTTTTAATTTATTGTATGTAGAACACATCACGCCTGGTACAAGATAGAACATTTTAAATTTAGCAGTTTGTTTTTACGCCTACCGTGTTTCCTATCATACGACTTTTTTTTATCACAACTGCGTTTTGTATATTATTTATCTTGAATGTATAAAATATGTAAATTATTATCAAATAATCAGTTCGTTATATCAACGTGTATGACTGTAATCTTGAATGTGATCATTGAAATATGAAGTTCTGCAGCAAGTCGTTACACTGCAGTTCAAACTAAACAAATTGTCATGACATTATTTTAAAATCAAAAGCTTCCCAAACGCGTCAGACTCAGTAAAAAGCGTTATTGTGCCCTCTACTGTTCATAGTGGTGCAACTGCAGCTTTATACTGGCACCACAGACAATAGGGCCAGTTGAGAGTGACGTTATAAGAAAAATAGAACTAAACGATTACTCGCAGAGTAGCTGTGGGCTAATCAGATTAATCCTGAATAATCGGGATTAATTAACATTCCTTAATATGACAAAAACGTTTTTCTATACAATACTGAAACGGAAAGACACAGCAGCAGGTTAATGATGTGATTTGTGACTAATTCAAACGATGGATTAGGTATTACGGATAAAATCAAGTAGAATATGCAGAAATACACCAACGCAGTGGCTCAAATCCATGTCCATTATTGGAAAACGTGTTGAGACCATGTGAGGGTGACCTCACAAAGTCGGTCAGCTGCCTGTCAATGTCCATTGTGGCTATTGTTCAATGCCAGTGGCAGCATTGTTAGAGCTGTGATCCAATCAACTGATCTACTGCATCCAGCAGAACTGTGACCTGGTTTTTTTTAAATTATTTCCTAAATATTTCCCCCCACTGATTTCACTTCCCTTTACATACTGTCACTGATATGAGTTGTGATTAGTAATATATTATGCAACAATTCAGGCCAATACTGAAGATAAATAAAAAGACATATTTCTGATGTTTTTAGAAATGCCTAAAAGTTTGCTTCCATATAGTGTCGCAATGATTAGTTCATGGTAATGTCACACCAGTACTTTGGTACAGCATAGCACCGTTTCTCTGAATGCAGGAATACTGGCATAATGTGCTATTTTTTTTATCTTTGTATTTATTTAGAAAGGTCAGATTATTTTATATAACTTACTATCCATCTTCCATCTATGTATTTATTTTGAAAGGTCAGATTATTTTATATAACTTAATTAAATGAGCTGCAATGCTGCCATCTAGTGATTTTCACTTTAATATACAGCCGTTTTTCCCCCAAACTGTTTTTAGAGCACATCGAAAAAATCAATAAAGATTCTTTCAGATATTACATAATATGCTAATATCGGGCTGATAATATCAGTCGGTCGATATTATGGGACATCCCCATTTAAAATATGTACACATTGATACATGTTAACCAGCAACGATGTGGACTCACAGTGGGGTTGAGCTGCTCACAGCTGAGCCCACAACAACAAGTCATTAATGAAGACAGGGTGGTATCTGTGGACAGGACACTGTCAGACACAGACACACAGGGGAGAGGCCCGTCATGACACCGACCAACTCCACCCCAACATCGCTTCCAACTCATTACTCTTCACATTCCAGACACACACACACACAGACATCTATTCTTATGAGGACCCTGCAGTGATTTTTCATTCACACTACTGGTCTTTTGTAGTACCAAGATGTACTACTACTAGACCCTAAACTTGATGTTCTGCCTCACTGGGGTCTCACTGATGGCCCAACTTCAGTAAATTTTAGATTTGATTTGCTATTTTCACAGTGAAGAAGCTCAATGAATCCGATTTTAGATTTGATTTGCTATTTTAATTTCACAGTGAAGAAGCTCAATGAATCCATCCATCCATTCTTTTGCCTTTGACTAATCCTGTTCAGAGCCATAGGGGGCGCTAGAGCCAATTCTCAATAACCTGAGAATATAAACCATCAGTTATAACTGAAGATAATTTGAGGCCCTGTGGGAGGAAAAACCATCAGTTATAACTGAAGATAATTTAATTTAATTCAGTAAAGCTAAGTTAAACACTTTACAATAATGATATTTTACTTATACTTGTTTTTAAAATATAATTGTCATACTTCTATCCTTATACTTTACTTTATGTTTAAAAGAGACAAATAATTTTGGATTCATATCCCAGGACCAAATGAGGAGGGGCTGCAGGTTCAACTTTGATGATGTTTATCTGCTCTGTAAATTATGATTCCCAGTGGTATTTCATTTGGATTTATGTCCATATAAATATATATAAATATATACTGCTGTGTATTATTCAAGTCGTACACCACTTACTGTACACCTACGCACATTTTTCACACACAGGCTGACACCAAGGGTGATTTGACTTTGGAGGAATGTGGAAAGGAGGGGAAAAGTTAACGGCGTTGTGTTCTGGAATGTCTTTGTCGCTTCCTCCCGTCCAGTACATTCCACACCTCCTCAGTCACCACTGACCGGCAAACAGTAGCTCCTATTTAACTGCACACAACGTCACTGCGACTGTATGTGCTGATCAGGTACAGTGTCACACTTATGGGAACCGATTGGTACCTTTTCACCAGAGGAAGTGGGTACCGATGAACCACACCATAATCTCTTCCACTCTCCGGTAATTGTAAGATTTAAGAAAGTTCTTTGATTGTCAATTTAATCAAACTGAAACTATTTTTTTTGTATTATATCAATGTTATTATTATGAACTTATTTTTAAAGATGTGTTTAATTCAATCTTTCAAAGTCTTACTGAACACAATATAGAAAATTTAAATAAATTGTTCTACTTTTGGATCAATTAAATTATACATTCACTTCTAATAAAGGATCCAGCACTATTTAAATTTTTATTTTTTTATCTATAACTTTTTTTTACCATATTACCAGAACAAAATATTTAAAAATAATGAATTAAATTATTATTATTCCTTTTGTTTTTGGCAAATCTAATGACCTTTGGGCTTCATAAACTAGAACTGTTTTGCTTAAGTAAAAATTGAAAGTGATCAAGATGTTGAAGTGCAACAAAAATAAAAAAAACAGTACTGAATCGGTAACTAATGAATTCAGTCCTGGTATCACGAACGTTTCCTTAAACTGATCAATTTAAAAAAATATATTTTCATCATTCGTTAAAGCGCAGCCTGTATCAAGTCTGGAAAACAACTGATGGATCCTTTACATTTATACCACACTTAGTTGTGTGACTTGGAGCCATCTGTTGCCTCATCACTGTTCAGTATGAGCTTATGTGAGGTAGGATCCTTGTCTCAGAGATGCTCCAATATTCAGGTGTCAGTGTAGCATCTCCTACTCAACTACTGGATTTTCTCAGAAACATCTTCAGGTCTGTCTCAGGTCTCGCCTAGACTTGTCCAAAATCCAGCACCGGGGGGCCAATTGTACCCCCTCACCCACCCAACCCGCTACTCATAGTGGTCCCTTAGGACGATGAAGCCTGCTGTGACATGTTTGTGAGTGAATGAAGCCCGAGTAATCACTGTGTTTGTGTATGTGTGTGTGTGAACTGACCTTGCAGCAGTGGCAGTAGTGTTCTCCATTTTTCCCTGGAGAAAGAATAATTTCCCCTGTAGGGATAAGCTGAATCGTGAGTTCCATCATCTTTCCTTTTTGTGTCCAGACAGTTGACAGAAGTATTGCTATAAGTCTCCTCTCTGGTTCTTGTCAAAATGTGTCTCAATGACAGGGACAGAGAGAGAGAAAGAGAGAGAGAGAGCGATACCTGAAAAAGCACAAAAAACTTCAGTCAAACAAATGTTTCCTCTCTTTGTTTGTTCATGATCCTGTTTTATTCTCTGTTGTTAAAAAAAAAAAAACACATGTTGACTTTCAGAAGGTTCAGAATGTTCTTACCTGACCCAGCGGCGGTTGTTGTTGTTATTTGACGGCGGCGCCACAGTTTGGCTTTTGGGTGTTACCTGCTGCAGAGTGGAGAGACTCTGTGAGGACAGCTTCCCCTCACAGCTGCCAGAGGATGTTGCTTCTCTGGTGGAGGGATCACGGAGAGGATGTGGAGCTCAGCCTGGCTGGAGATGCATGTCACATGTAGAGGATATGTGTCTTCTGTCGTAGCACGGGCACGTGTGTGTGTGTGTGTGTGTATTGGAGACAGTGATTCATCTTCAATCAAGGAAACAAACACAGATTCACATGTTCTTTTCGTGGCACAGTGCTACAGTTGTAATCTAGGAAAAACAATGTATCTGTCAGCCATATCTTTAGAAAATGATTAATCAGTCCAAAGTAGTCGAACGGAAAAGTTAGTTTCCTCTGTCAAAATATGTCATTATTCTGCCTGTCTCGCACACATTTTCTCTCTCTCTCTCTCTCTCTCTCTCTCTCTATGTGTGTGTGTATGTGCAAAGATAAAGCATCAGTATTTGCTTCTGAAGATAAACATATTAAAGTCCTGGATAAATACTTGCTGAACTACTGCTTATACCTGACTCTGAACACATTGTGATTACGTTAAATTCAACCTTCATTTTTAAACCTTAAATGTTCACCTTTATTCCACTTTAACTCAAATTATATTCTTGATTTGAAACTAGATTTTAAATCTCTTTCACTTGGGGACCTAAAAAAAAGTGTCCCCACAAGTGTGGGTATACCAGGATTACACATGAACACATGGTCTTAGTCTATTTCTAATTCAAACCTCAATCAATTCTAACATGGAAATAAATCTCAATGCAAGGATGTTTTCTGTGAATAAAAAATACCACTAAAATACTAATGGACACACACCAAAACCTGTCTTCATAGTCTTCAGGGGCTAATGTTTTTAATCATCTTTTGACGAGACCATTTACATGAGATTCTAAAAAAAATACCTGTACACATGGCCACAGTCTCATAGGAACATAATATATTTGTGGTAGTGGTGCTGGTCCAAACTATAGGACTGGTCTTCACAACTCAATTGATACAAGCAAAGACACACACACACACACACGGTGTTAGTGAAATGTACTGGTCTGCTCATCCTGTCTGAGACAGCCTCAGTGTCCACCCTCTAGATTTACTGTGTTTTTGCTTATGTCCACAGCCAGGACCACTTGAGCTTCCCAAAGGATAAACAGGCAGGAGACACGCGTGTGCACCACACTCGTTCTGAAAACAAACAAGGGACTCACGCTCTCACAGCAGTGCACTTCCTGTCCCCACGGACTCACTCACATCTACTGACTGGGTCCTTGACAAGTGTTCAAGGGTCGTCGAGCAGCTACGTAGTCGCACACAAGAAGCAACAGGGCTTCTTTTACAGACGACATTGTCATCATCATCATCATCATCATCATCATCATCATCATCATCATCATCTGAGGGCTGAGGGTTGAGGGGTCATGAGGTTCATGAGGTTCATGAGGTTCATGGTTTGTGTTGATTGACAGGCAGGAAAAACAATAGCACAGTTGCAGGACCGTGTTTGTCCGACTGGCAATTATTTTTAGAACCATCTGATATTCTTATCTGTGTCAAAAGTTGTTGTTTTACTGATCTATCTTTAAAACAAAATAAAAAAAAATTAAAAAAAATTATAACTAAATACTTAACTTATAACTAAAAATTAACTAAATTCTTTAAATAATTAAATTAAAATTAAATAATATTTTAATTAGTATTTTTTCTCTTATATATTTACATTATATAAGATTTGCTTATAAATATACCTATTCAATTCTTAATAAATAATACAGCCAACACAACTGCTAGGATCATTTTTGAGGTCACATGTTTTGCCCAAGGATACATTGGAATGTATTTTTTTCTTTTTTTTTTCCCTAATAAATATTCCAATCTTAGATTAACTTTTTTTCTAATAAATATTCCAATCTTAGATTAACATCTTGGATATTTACCTTGAATACTCTAGAAATAAATACCTTTTACTCCGAGAGGGCACATAACAAGTGTGTGTGTGTGTTAGAGGAGGGATGTGGCATTGACACACATCCGGAGTCCTTTGACCTCATCTGAAGGGATTCCTGACAGGCTGGCATCAACAGGAAACCTCTGGCTTGAGACATATGTTCATGCACACACACACACACACACAATGAACTAAGTCTCTTACTTTCTGCTAATGTCTTTTCGTTGATTGAGTTCCATGATTTGATTTTATTTTAAGTTCAAGTGAAAGTGAAACCAAAATCATTTTTCTCTGTATCTCATCATCAGTGACTTTATCAACATTATCGTAGTTAAGAAATTAATTAATAATTAAAATAATTTTTCCATGTGGCATACACATATATGTTACAAAACGCTAGCGAGGCATGATTTTATTCAGGGTAAATTTTTGTTAAATACATTTTAATATTTTTTTCACTTCTATAACATTGACATATTTATCAGCATCACTAAGAAACATACTTTAAAGAAACTAAAGGTTTTTTTTAAGAACAGGTCTTTAAATTCTCCAGTGGTTAAACTCTGGAAAGAGGAAGTCAGGCTTCCAGTAAATCCATTGTCCTACAGTTTATTCATGTCAAACAACGACCCTAAAAGAGTTTATTTTCCTTCTTCCCTGTTCACAGGATCACATTACACTAGAAGAAAGGAAACAACATTTTCCTTCATTTTCCTTCTTGTTCCGTACCTTATAAAGGGTTCAATTCAGGTTTGAAAATACTTTTTAAAAATTGTTTGGATTTAAAAATGCATATAAAAATGTGAACTTTTTCTGACTTTTTCATCATCTCGGGAGAAAAACATTAATATAACTGTGTTCAAATCTGTTAAAGCAGAGAATTCACCCTTTGGGTCTGGTCTGGGATGGACAAAGTGTCCTGGATGGAAGAGGAAAGGATAAAAAAAAAATCAGAAAAAAGAAGGAATCAATCCAGGAAATTGTTAGAATAAAGGATTCAGAAGAGTCAGCAATGAGACAAATTGATTATCCTTATGCTCTCCTGTAGGTGGAGCTTCCTTTTCCTGATTTTAAGAGGGAATTCTCTTCTGGTTGTCACTTCCTCTTCAAGATGTACGCAGTATCAGCTACTGCGTAAAATCCTGCACTAGGATTCAGAACAGGAGTCACCAACGTGATGCCCTCATTGACCACCGGAGGAGTATTTTCTAAAAATAAAACTAGTCAACAAGACTAGACCTTTTGAATCGGTTACACTTGTAATGGTAAGAAGAGTGTCTCCATTAAAAAAGTATAAAATGTTTTATGATTTTTTATGACATTATTCAAGTGTGTATCACTGATGTAGCTCAGGTCGGTGACCCCTGATTTAGAATAATTGGAAAAAAGACACGGCAAAAAATGTTTACATTTTTCTACCGTTTTGATTGAAGTCATAGACATTGTCATGGTAATTAACCAACTGCTATTAAACAATCCGGCAGTCAATCAAACATAGTAGCCAATCAAAAGCCTGGCAGAAGATTTTTTAAAATTGTTACCATCATCTGCCAGCTTTACTGCCTATCTACCACTTTTTCATACATTCATAACCTATGTAACCTATCTACTTTTTCATACATTCATAACCTATGTATAGATTTTAGAGACCCTCTACTGCCACCTGCTGGTAAGAGAAAGTAACTTTCTGTCACTCGGCTCTACCACACGACGTGCTGTTGCTTTTTCGTGTGGTGAGGGCAGGTGTAACACCAGAGCAGGTCTACAGTCTTCATGATGGGCTGACCCTGAGGGTCAGTGAGTTACAGTGACCTGTCCGTCTGCTCCGTGGACAGAGGCCCATGTGGTCACTGCATGGCTGTGTGAAGGGCACGGCGCAGAATACAGTAAAGTGCAGTTCATCAGCTACAGTGTATTTGTGGCACTGTCCTGAAACCAGATCCTGCATGGAGACTCAGCCCAGCTCAGCCCAGCTCAGCTCAGACCAGATCGGACCAGGGCTATGATAATCTCACAAGTGCCGCCTGAAAATAGCCCTGCCTATTTTTAACTGCTGTCTCCGCAGCAGGAGAGGAAGTTCATTATATTTCATTGGTATTTGTTCCTCAGCTCTGTGAGCGGCAAACGCGCTCCAACAACAGAACAGCAAGGCAGTTTCCAGTTTCCACAGGAAGCCGAAGGACGCCTGTGAGGCTGAGAGGTGCAGGAGAAGGAGCAGCAGGAGGAGATCACGCCCTGAACGGGGCAGCTTTGAAAGATGTACAGCAGTGACTGGAGAAACCGGCCTTGGGGACATGATTTGTGGGTTTTCCAGTTTGAATGGAACATGCTGCCCCCTGGAGGTTTCATGTTACAGTGTTGGCTGCTCAGTGAAGGAGAAATCATGAGGTACCACAGTCACCTGCTTGTCAACACGTCACTTTTTATAATTATTTCTTCCCCCCACGGACAAAGAGAATGTTCCACAGCATCAACTATCCATACAAAGTCGCACTTAGCTTAAGGTTAAAGGAATAGTTCAACAAAATACATTAAAAGAAATCTGTTTTTTTTGTATCATGGACTGTTATACAAAATAAGCAGTACTACAAAGTTGTTTTTTTAATAGTTCAGAGTGACTGATTTTCAAAATTAAAGGCAATGATAAACCAGTCAGCCATTTGATCTAATTAACTTAAAACACGAAAGAACAAACTGAGTCCAGTAAACACTTCTGTTCTGGTACAGCTGCTGTTTGATGTAATTGATTTTCTTTTTCTTCTTCTTTTTTTGATGTAAATTGAGATTGAAATGCACTGTAAAGTGAGACTTATCCTGGATGAATGTGATCCCTGTGTTAGTCATGCTTTCTCTGGACCTGCCCTTCCTCCACATTACATATCTGTTACAAGAAGAGAACAGGCTTGACTTCATACTGCACCCACAAGGCCCATGCACACTGATGAACCTCCACGTCGACCTTCTGGGCTTTTTCGCCGAGTAAACACCTTATTATGCAACAGCTTTGGGGAGAGGATTTGTGAGAACTTCCTTTTGCTTTGTGTCTAGGGCAGCTCTGACCTGCAGAGGGCACTAGACAAGCTGCTGAACAAAAGACAATTTGTCAGCGCCACAACACACACACAAAACTAAAGCCTGCTCTCTGGGAGGGGCTGTGCAGAGAATTATTCAACTTTCCTTTCCATCTTTCAAAGGGGTCAACATTTAAGTTTCTACTGGGGATTCATTGATCTATTACAGTCAAACCAACCACTGCTATATCTGGATGGATGCAGACCAGTAGTATCAGAAGACACCAGAAGACAGGACGAAAATGTCCCAAAAAGAATATGCACTGAAATATACTTGTCTTATTCTTCCAATTTACTAGTATTAAATCCTGGCCTGTTTAGTTGAACACAGCATAGAAAAGCTCACAGGAATTGAAGAAAGACACACACAAAGATCTTCAAAAGCTCCAGTCTCTCTCTCTCTCTCTCTTTGTTTTTGTATACAAAGATCTTCAACAGCTCCAGTTTCTCTCTCTCTCTCTTTTTGTTTTTGTTTTTATAGCCATCTGCTGTGACCTAGTGGAATAGTATTTAATAATATTAATTTTCACAGTTGTATTGACAAATCAAGACTAATTATTCAGAGTAAATAAATAGCAGTTGTCAGACCAATTAGGTAAAATTGGATCATTTCCCAAGCCACACTCAATGATCTCTCCAGCACAGTGGTTGAGAGTCACTGATTTAACAAGTAATTACAAATGTATTGTTTATTTACTGAAAATTGAATCAAACCAAAAGAAAGTTGCTGGAATTTTGGTGCATCTGCATGATCTTATCTTAAACCATTTTATGTTATGATTAAATCCAATGGTTTCACACCATTGACGATCATTTACTCTTGAGAACTCGTTGAAAATCGTTGACCGGGAATGGCAGAACTCTTACCAAAAGAAGAGCAGGGGGAAAAAAACCTAAATTGAACAATTAAATTGAAAAAAAAAAACATAAAACCATCAGCTCTCAGCTCATTCCTACTCCAATCCTCGACACTTATCCTGTTAGCGCTAATTAGCTGTGGTATAATTGGGGTGAGTCCAATTTCCCAAGCCAAACTCTGAGGTCACATTTTTTTTTTATACAACGTTTTAATTGAGATTCCTCTTCAGACTGTAGACCTGTTCTATCGTCTGCTTAAAACCAAAATGGCTGCTTATCACATGGTCCACAGGTCAAACTCGTGGTTTCCAAAAAAACATCCTGGCCTTTTTGTGCTACTTGTTGAACTTGTTTTTATCAGTATATCAGCGGCCTCTGCCCTGACACTCGGCCCTCCCACCTAAACCAGCTCCTCCACATTCACCTGAGATTCCAAATTTAGTCTGAGGCACTGAGCCACAGTTTGTTATTATGTGGTGATGTAACTGTAGAAAAGGCAGCAACTAAAACTGAGGAGGTGGAAGGTTAGGATCCCTGAGGGACACCTGCTGAAAAGGGTTCAAGGTCCAAACGTGGACATGTCTTAACGTAACAAAACCATTGTGTCCAGTCTCCAGATGCACTCGGGTTGATCCTGTCTGTCGACTAATCAAACTATCTCTGATCAGTGATCCCACAGTGAGGGAGCAGTGAGGAGCCGAGGGCTGTGGCTTCACTGTGTCAAGAGAACCACAGGCATTAAAATGACATTTGCCCTTGATACACTATAAATAGAACTAATTCAATTTCACGATCACACAGTTGCTAACTATACCGCCAGCAACGGCACAGGAAGACACGCGGCTCAACTTTTAGCAGCATTCAATTAGAGGTTGTCCAAACAAAACGACTGAAGAGTTTCTGAAATTCTGACATCATCGGTGAATAACTAGTGTTCGTCACATTAACCACTGCATAACTTAGTGATGTCAGCAGTTTGTTGATTTGTTGTCATTCTACATGCTCATATAGGTCGTACATCTTGGACTGTTGACCAATCACAGGACAGCGTACAGACACAAACAGCCATTCTACACACTTGGTCAAAGAGATTGTAATGTGTACATGTCATAGCCATTCATCTTTTTGTTTGGAAAAACCATGAGTCCCATGAGCCACAGGTTGCAGACCAGCACTCCAATGGCCTGTATTCATGCTGACCTAACATTTCACTTCTCAAACTCATTATCTTATATTAAAGATTAATTTAAATCTATACAACAACATGACACCATCCAGGTTGACAGCATAAACATGTTGGAACAAAAAAGAGCTGTTCTTATGAGACGACCGTGATACAACAGAGCAACGAGCCCATGATGAAATGAAAGCCTTAATGGAACTGTTAAGTCACTGCTGAGGGTCAGCTGAGTGGCTGCCAAGAACCATTTAGGAAGCAAATGCTGGAAACACTGCTGCATCACTGTAGGAAGAGATCAGTTTCTGCAAAGTCAGCGGCTTTGATTTTTTTTTGTTTTGTTTTTTTTTTTTATAGTCAGCGGCTTTGGTTTTTTTTTTTGTATTTTTTTATTAATGTCTCCATTTGCAGAGCAAATATGGACATCAGGTATACAGCGGAGGAAGTCACTGTCAGACGATTTCAAGTTTTTAATCGAGCATATGAAGCAATAATGGTTTAATTGCATTTATTATACAAAAAACTCTAAAAATGGTAGATTGGTGGCAGTTTAATTATCTCCTTAAAAAATGATCGATGAACTTGGAAATAATCCAGGCTCAATGTTTTTCAGACGCGTGCATTAAAAGATTAAAAAAGTAAGCTGGAACCCCTACTATATATTTACTGCGTATACACACATACAGAGATCCGCAGCAAAAACTAAAAAACAATTTCTCATTACCGTCTCCATGTGGATGGAGGTTCATCGTCGAGGTTTGTTCACAAGCACGTTAAATAAACAGAGAAGTAACACAGAAGACAAGATTCCGTGTGTGATATTTAATTTAGATTGTTTAATGTTAATTCCATGCTGTGTTTCAGTAAGAACAATTCAGATTCCCTGTCTGTGGCTCCAGTCAGATATCCAGTAGTACAAATCAGCTCCAAGTTACACATAATGAAGCAAAACAAAAGGAACTCAGGCAACAGCATAGAGAAAGAAGATCTCAGGATGTTAGTTGAGATGTGTTTTTAACTTCGACGAGCACAGCAACAACAACGGTAAATTTTGGGCTAGCGCCGAGGAGCAGGGCTAAATTTGAGACTTTTCTTTAACAAGAGTGACAGATCTCCCAAGATATATGTTTTTAATTCCCCCAAAAAACTTAAACCACCAGCTGACCAGGAGTCAACCTCCAAAGAGAAATTCAGCATGTGACACGGTTACAGTATTTCAGCACAGAGATGACGAACGTGAACGTGACGACAGAACCACTATGGTGTAAAATTTCAGGACTTCTTTGCTCCACATGGATATCAAGAATTTTGCCAGCTTCCCCTAAAAACCTAAGTTAACAAAAAGGGCACTTGTCGTTTATTTCAAATTGCCCATAAAAAAAGAAATCAGGATTTGACATTTCACTAAAAACAGAGATAAAATAGCTCCCATTTCTAAGTCAACATTATCAGTAATAAAAGTTAATTTCTGTAATTACATTAAGAAAAAAAAAAGATCTCAATACATCCAGCAACTGATGAAATTAGTGGAAAAAGGAAAAAAAAAACCCATAATGGTGAAAACAAAGATAACTCAGGATCTGCTTGTACCAGGACCAAAGGAAAAAAAATAATAAATGAAGAGAAAACCAGGGAGTCTTTCATTATCTTTGTCTTTCTAACATTGTATTTCCTGTCTCACTTGAGTGGTATTACTTGTATGGTGGAAGGGCTAATATAAAAAATAAGAAGGAGAGGGGAAAAACAATTTACCTGCATGCCCCGTGGCCCAGCTGGGTCATGGAGCAGCACAGGCAAGGAAGAGGAAGGGAGGAGGGGACAGGAGAAAGGTGACTCATGGAAGAGGAAGGAGACATTGTAGGAGTGTGAGGTGGTAAAGGGAGGGTGAACGTGGGGGCGGTGGTTTCTCAAGTTGATGGTTGTTAGTGGCAGGGTCTCACTGGGCCTCGTCATCGACGTCTTGCAGTACCTCTTTATTCTGTTCTTCAGCTGCGGAAGAAATCAAACTGGTGAGTTTAGGCCGTCACTCACAGCGGCTGTGGTTTGACACTGCTTTTCAATATGCACAAAAACGTCTGAGTGGAGAGAACAGTTTGTGCACCGACAGAGGTTTATGTGTAGGCCTGTGACAATAAACAATAAATCCACTGATCACACGATTAATGAACATAAAGTCAATCCTTTTGCCAGACTTGAGAAATTGCCATGTGCGTGCATGTTTGTTTTCCTTCCTTTGTCTTTCACCTCCAAACAGGCAGGATGTGAAATCAGTTTGTTAGCTGAATGAGCCCCCTTGTCAGTCATCCACTCTTTGTGGGGGGAGGTGGGGATGATAGAATACGCCAAATTTGTTTGAACGTGGTGGCAACAACACAAGGCAACACAACAAACTTGCGTGCCGACCTAAAACATAACCACCTGACAGTTTTCCCAGCTAGGGAAAAAACAAAAACTGCACCTCGAGATTCAGAGCCTTTGTCACGACAGTCAACACTCACTGAGGCGTTTGGTCAACCAAGTCAACATGAGGGGCATTCAGGTACCATCGGAAATTTGAGATTCATAAAAAGACTCACGAGAAAAATCATTTATTGCATTTGAAAGTTTATCTGCAATAATTTGTGGGACAATGTATTGTCCAGCAAAATGTGTTATCGTCACAGGCCTGTTTATGTGCAGTCAGAGCAAATAAGAGAGATTCAGTCAATAAAGGACAACTGTGTAGAAAAGATGCGAAGGAAAGGTGACAGAAAACAGTACTGGATACTGGTCAAACAACAACATTCACCATTGGCAGTTCTATTGTTCTGAGAGGAGGCTGTCAATCGTATCGATGACACAATCGTCAGAAACTTAAATTAAAACACAAATTATCAGTTCTATTTAAATTAGCTAAAAGCGTTGACTTGTGACGACAACAGGTGAGGACAACATCGGTTAGTAATTTATTTTTAATGAAGAGTTTGTACAACAGCTCTGTTTTTATTTTTAATAATAAATATTTAATATTTAAAAATAATTTTGTCGTGGGTGTGGACAGTTCTCTGAGAGCTGGACAAAGCCACCTCCACATGCAGCTCATGGTGGCCAGGTGAGCTTGGAGGGGAATATCAGAGGTGCTCAGGTGGTCTCAGGTGTGACGTCATATTTCCCGTATTTGGAGAGGTAAACATAGAAATATTTCTTCCAAAAAAATTAATTGGACACAAGCTGTTTGACTCAATGAACATGAAAACAGTGTCTCATGAGTCTAGAACAGAGTGTTTTTGTAAACTGTCTATTGATTTTTCCTTTACTGTAATTCAGGACTCTCACATTTATGTTAGTCAAAGGCGAAGCAATACGGAGAAATATTTTGAATTTAATCCCACTGTTCAGTCCTGAGGTCGTGTGTATTGGATTTCAATAGCGTGCATTAAAATTAAGACATGCAGCATGCATGAATGATGCATGTACACCTACTGATGGCTTTGCTTATTGGCCCAAAAGAAAAAAATTAGATTGGCAGAACATTGCCTAAGGTTTAAGAGCATGGACAGACAGTATACACTGTGATATGTTTCATCAACATATAGGCTTCAACAACTTTTAACCTAACAGCTGTAAAATGGCACTCCTCAAACACAGACACACCCTATAGATCATCATGACTGACTGCACATCATCATCTTCATCCAACGTTTGTCTCTTCCACCTGGAAATTGATCAATTCCAAGCTGATCACACACGTTTAGATGCCACATATACGGAGACTTGAAAGGCTTGTTGACAGACCCGTCCTGTGCTCGGGTTAGAAAGTTTTTACTTCCTGTTCATTTTAATTTTTCCCTCCTTCAACAAACAGACCAGCTGAATCCGATCAACCAAGGCATCCATGATGAACTAACATTTACTCTAGCACTCAAGAAATCCCATTTCCATCTAACAGCAGTAAGAGAAGACCAAACCACAGCTAACTGTCCAGCTACATGCGAGTGACAAAGCAGCAAGTGAACAGATTGAATTATTCAATCAGTTTGTGTAGAAAGTAAAAAGCCACACAAACACACAGCAAGGCCTGGGTGAGCAACACTTACAAAGTACAGTTAACATGGTAAATGAACAGTCAGGTTTGTTCCTTTAGGATTCTACGGCAGAAAAAAAAAACATGAAAAAAAGACAGGAGATGATGAGTCACTGTGGAATGGACACTGCACCAAAGCAAATGCAAACAACTAGAAAAAAACGGAAAAAAAAGAGCACAGGGCCCAATCATATCAATGCAAGTCGCCTAAAAGATGGGTAATGTGAAACACAGCTAAAGTTCAATGTCGTCAGCCTTCAAGATTAACTAAAAATTGGACTTGTAGGGAGTTTAGAGGACTAGTTTCCAAAGGCCAGTGAATTCATGATAAATTTGGGATTTTGAATTTTATTGTGAAATTAAACCCAAAAGAAAATCTCTTTGCGACATTCAGAATTGTTGATTTGCCTTGTAATTCATTGTGATTTATCAGTTTAGAAACTTTAATTATTTGACAATCTACCAGCAAAGGCTCTGCCTTAGGTAGGTTTTCATAACTTCTGGGTAGCTTTTAATATGTTCCAAAAAGTCCCAATATTTTATGATACAGATTTACAGTTAGCAGTCTTTTGCACTTTTGGCACATGTTTATATATATATGTAATAAGTAAAATGTAATAAGTTAAATAAGGTTGACCACCAGAGACAAAAAAATGGGTAGATAGACTAAAGGGGCAGAAGAATGAGTATTATTAACAGACAGTGTGGTATAAATATGATCTTACCGTCTCCCTGCATGTCTGAAGTCCATAGTGTCAGGTTATCACGTAACAACTGCATGATAAGTGTAGAGTCCTTGTAGCTTGATTCACTCAGTGAATCCAATTCTGCAATTGCATCATCAAATGCAGCCTTTGCCAGCCTGATGAAATATATAATAAGAATATAAAAGTTTAAATAAAACAATTATACTTTTAAAGTCTGAATAGGTGCAGGAAATTGTAGTAATGTGTAAGGGAGAAACTGACCTGCATGCACGATCAGGCGAGTTGAGGATCTCGTAGTAGAAAACGGAAAAATTGAGGGCAAGGCCGAGACGAATGGGATGTGTGGGAGCTAGCGCTGACATGGCGAGGTCGGTAGCAATTTTGTAGGCCACCAGGCTGTTCTCTGCTGCCTCCTTCCTGTCGTTGCCCGTGGCAAATTCTGCCAGGTACCTGTGGTAGTCACCCTTCCTGGAAGTGGAAAAAGATTTGTCTTTATAACATTAAATTAAACAAACTAAGTAATTATTGCTTCATACATAACAGCTTGTACTTTAAATTTAAAGATGACTTTTTTTAAGCGGCAAAAATAAATCAAATAACTCAGCATTCAGCTTGATTTCCACATAATGTTATAAGATTCTGGCATCACAGCTCTTACATTTTGTTGTAGAAGACCTTAGACTCTTCAGCGGTGGCAGATGGGAGGAGGTGTGTATCCAGTGTGTCCAGAATGTCTTTACAGATTGTCTTCAGCTCCTTCTCAACCTGTATCCAAAGAGAATAAAAAAAAAGCCACGTAAATCAACCGACCACTTATGGTTCTTGCAAAAAATACACTGCAATTATGGGAATGGAAACAAGGGACGATGAATTCATCCTGACAATGCACCAGACAGGATTAGACCTCGCCAAGCAGTCAGGTATATTCAGACAGAAATTGCTGAGGCTCTTGTCATTTTGTGCTGTGATCAAGACATACTTACGTTAATTATCACATTGCATTATGCTTTTGTTTAAAGTTGTAAAGAAATATGAGCAGTATGTTTTAGAATTAGATTACAACTCTAACTTCAAAATGTATTATTTATTTATAATAGTTTCTTGTATGGACCCTACTGATTTGTGTATATAGTGAATGCCTAAAGAGACAATAAACCCAAGTTTAATTTCAAGCAATGGAAAACTCATCTCTTATTATGTATAATAAAAGACTTCTGTCTTACTTGCCCTGAACCTACCTTGAACCCAGAACCTAATTTGTGGTAGGGGAGATTTCAACAACTGAACTGTTTAATAATTTAATTAAGAGATTTATAATTGTTAGCTGGGAAAATCTGAATTATTATTATCTTAATAACTCACGACACACGACTGATTATTAAGCATTTGCTAACTAGTAGTAATTTGAGTTAATTAGCAGGTTCTGATTATATAGTACGTTCTGATTATTCTGAGAATTTAACCCATCTCATTTATACTAAATTGATTACTAATTATTGTTGATGTAAACATGTATAATTTAAATACTGTAAAATTCAACCATATTGCATAAGAGTATCCTAGTAACCTGCAATCCCAATTCTGTGCCAACGGAGTTAAGCGTTGAGAATAAGCTTCTTAGCATTTGCTTAAAATACATTGGATAGAAAAGAGGGGTTTCTAGGAAATTTATGCACAACTTACACTTTTGCAAAGCATTGTTCGTACCGACAAAGTTAATCTTTGAAATGTACGACGCAGTAAGGGATTATATCAGTAAGGCCAGAGCCTTCTTTGACCACGATGCAAAATGTATATGCAGTATAAACAGTTCCAGACAAATATAATTACCCAAAATAATTGTTATATATAGAACAGTTATTTTGTCTGAAACACCTGTACTGAATGTAGAATGAGGTACTGAATGTTGTTCACATTTGTTAAGTGTGGTTGGTCTGATTTTTTTTTTTTTACATTCAAATTGCAAAGATAAAAATATATTTCTAACAAAGGTATTTCACGCTTTTAAAAAAGAGGAACTAAAAATCCACAGTTAGGTAAGGGTATTTTATTAGTCAAATGTATATGGCACCTATGGTCATGTGGCAACCGGCTCAGCATTTTACCTCTGTCCTGTAATCCTTGATCATCTGTAATTTCTCATCTCCCTTGTTGTCTTCCCTGTGTTCAAGACTGCTGATTATCCTCCAGGAAGCTCTCCGAGCACCAATCACATTCTTGTAGGCAACAGACAGTAGGTTTCTCTCTTCCACTGAGAGATCCACATTCAAGCTCGCCACATTCTTCATCGAAACCACCATTTCTGTTCAAATTTTAGAAAAGACAATTAAAAAAATAAATGTTTGTTTACATTAATAAATTATGCAAGTTTAAACCTGGCGTCTTCAGAGTTGTGTATGTGCCATCACACAGTACTAGAATACTTAGCTCCATGTATTTCAGGAAAATACTAGGGAGGGTTCAAATGTAGTATAAAACCATAATTTGGTTCTTTTTGACCATTGTGTTGTGTATGCAATAGACTAAATGCAGCAAATACAGCCTTCTTGAGTTGAATTATTAACTGAAATGTATTAAAAATGGTTTTCCAAAATGTTTGGATACATGAAGATGTCAGTCAGTATGTTGTAACACTGTTAACAGCGGATTTTGGAAGTGATCCTGGAAGTGCACTGATTTTATCTTATGTTTGCAGTTGTAGTTGCATTTTTTAACATTATACTTTTAGGGGAAGTTTAACAGGAAGCTATAAAGGACTCTCATATTTGCGGTTCAGTGTGTGCAATAAATGCACCTTGTTTTAGAGCGAATTAGTAATAATTTGAACAATAATTGTGACTTCAGTGATCACATTAATTGTAATTATTATCCCACACCCCATAATCGAGCAGCCCTAATGCAGCTGACACATGCTGATTCAGCCTGAAAGATGTTCAACACTGCAGTATGATAGACCTGGACACTCCCTTAAGGTTAAGGGAAGAGTAACAGTGCCCACCCCATAGAAATGACTAATCAAAGAAAGAGTGGAAAATTAGCTTCTATGTAATCACCTTACATGCAATGGGATACATACACATTATGAAATGCTAGCCTAAAGCAGGGTTGTTGTTTTTTTTTAATATTGAAATTCATTTTCAGTAGTATTGACAGGAGACTCTGTTTAAAATATTTTTTTGCATTGGAAATTTAAACATCAAATTTTAATTAAAGAAATTGCACATCCCTAGAAACTTCTTTTTATATAAAGTTGCTACTTAAAGAGTGGAGCATGCTAACTAATTTACCAGGATATACTAGCACCAATAGATGGTCTATACATGTCAATTACTTGTATACCCTTTGTGGAGCAAACACATCGAAGCTTTTTGTCTACATACAGCGAAGTTCAACAATTATATGAAAGCTCTTTGTGAATCAAATTATAACATGGGGTAAAAAAAAGGAAACGTAAACAGAACACAATGTGAATAACACCACATTCCAGATAGGATAGTATCGCCACTATAAATCAGTCTGGGAATACACCCATTCCAAATCTCGTGAATGACTCATGGCATATTCACTTAACGTTTCCGGGCAACGTGCAACCAATGGCAAAGACAGTCGTCTAAAAACAGCCTTCACAGGGCCTGCAATGGTATGGCAGCCAACCGAAGCGTAATGGGAAAAGGAAAGGGGAGTCGTTTTCACCAATCGATCCGCACGGCCGGGTTTCAGGGGAACACCCTCCCAAGTGAACAGCTGCCCTCCCACTCCCAGCTAATACTTAGCAGGCTTCGATTAGCCTCGCAAACACTTAGGTTTGTTGGCAGCGTAAAGATTAAAGAAAAAAACAACAACATATTAATACAAAATGATCCAACGTGCCGCTTATAAAACAACAATGGGGAAACTGTGTTCAGTTTGGTAGAAATAACCAAATCAGTGGCATGCAAAGAAGGTAGCACGGTGCAGGGAGGCAACTCCTGACAGCTCACGCTCCACTGATCCGCCATTTTGTTATAGCCAGTTTGCTAGCGATAGCCACATTTAGTTACATTGGTTAATTTCCAAAAAACAACAAACATTGGCTATGAAATACTTTGTGTTCATTAAAATAATAGCTTGCCAATTTTACAAGCCGCTTACTGTGCCAGAAATCTTTAAGTATTCTGGCTGCGGCCAAAGTAGGGTTAGCTTTCAGGTTAGCCGGAGCTAGCGCTGCCTGCTGCTGAACTCAGTTAACATTAGCTTGGTCAGAGAAAAAAAATCACAGAGGCTAACATGTCCCAGACCCAGCCACCCCCAAGAACGTCGCCTACCGTCATATCGCTCTGCCTGCTCGGCAAGTTTTGCCTGGAACACTAGGTCTTCTCGCTCTGACATTGTGTACCGAGAAGCAGAGTAGCAGACAAATGACAGTTGCAGGAATTCAGTGAACACCAAGGTACTGTGTCGGATCTTTAGCGATTTCTACAGTCCAACCGGGTCGATGAGTGCTGTACCGCCCCTCGCCGGCAGCGCTGCGCTGGTTGGAGTAAAGATGGCGGTTGGCCTCATCCGGGTACTGCGCAAACGCTCACGACGCAGCAGCTTTGATACGCCTGTCCTTTGATTTTTTTTCACGATTATTTTTTCCAAGAATCATGTTAGTTCAATCAAAGGGTACCCGCAATGTACGTATGTACAGTATGTATGTAATTTCGTTTAACATAGATATAAAAAAAACTGTTTATGTCGAACTCCCTTGGGGCCCGCGACCCCTAGGGAGTTTGCTGTGGCATTGCAGGGGTATAATAATAATAATAATAATAGTAATAGTAATCATGACACATATATATTGCACTTACACTTGCACAATAACATATGTGTCATCCTCCACACCCTGAAAACATCCAAGCAACATAAACATGAAAAAAACATGACAGAACATGTGGTCAGGTATGGCACTCCACACCTTAAAACATTATATGATTATTTTTGATACTCAGTGTTTTTTTTTTCTCATTCAGTAAAGCAGTCTTATCAGCTACAGTTGGTAGGGCCCCTTTGCCATGTTAGGACCACCTGGTCCCCTCATCCCAGTCTGAGTTCAATGTAAAAACTGTTCCACTGGGATCAACACTGACAATGGTTCAAACTGAAAGTGAATCAGACTTATAACTCTGTCTTTGGTGTTGGACCCAACTGACTTGGGTCGCAGTGCTATTAAGTTGCCAACAACTTAAATAGGCATGAATCATGAGTTGATATCAAAAGCAAGTTATAGTACCATGTATTGCCATTGTAGTTCCTGACGTTACCAGCATTTTAAATTGCAATCTACATGTTTTAATGATGTAAAACCAACAACACTTTTAATACACAAACAATATAAGACACTTTATTTGACTTGGGTTTGACTTTATTTACTAGTATATTAACACATTACATGCTACAGAAAATAAAAACAAATCAACTGTCTTGAAAGAATATAGTGTTATAATAAAATGGCACATTTTTATACTTAAAATAATTTCCACTGGCACTATAACATCCCTTCCTTTTTATTAAAGGAAATGAATGGCTTCATGCAGTGCTACTAAAATACCCATTGGTGGTTTTCATTGGCAACAGTGACATTGGAAACATGATTTGTTCGCAACTACACAGATAAAAAAACCCAAAACATCTGTCAAAAACAGGCAGTAAACACTAAAGGTAATTTTAGAGTGAACACTCCTTGAAGTGCTCCTCCATAGAGATTTCAATCGGAGATCCTAACATGTTTTTAAATAGTGCCAATGACCAGCTTAGAAAGACAGAAAAACAAAGGTTGGTAAATAAATCTGCAGGTGAAAGAGGAGCTAAATGAAAACCATACAAAGGAATGCATACTGTACATAGTGAATGCAAACTCCAGATAAACACAAGTGCATGAATGTTGCTACAGTGCCACCTAAAGGTGAAATAACTGTGCAAAACAGAAATACTGATACTTTGACATTTGAAAGAAGCTACTCACTTCCATGAGATGAAGTTAGATCAAATTCAAAGTGGAGCAGGTTCACTCTACACATGTACGCCGTCTTCATGGCCTGCTTTAGTCAAGAACAATCTGCCTGATGAAGAATGTGAGGGATGATTGTCAGATGTCAATAAAATGATTGGCTCTACTATAACTGTTTCTGGGTAAAAGAAAAACTACATGCATTATGATACTATATTCAGGAGAACATGGCAACAAGGTGACGTGGGGGGAAAAGACCAATGGAAAACAGTAGACAATGTTTGTGTGTGTCAAAACTGGGCAGGGTTTTAAAGCTGCAGTGCACAACATTACAATGACTGAATGAATGTGTTACATTCACGTTATTATCAAATGAGTTTATGCGATGTGCATTAAGCCCGTTAGCTCGACCGCGTGCTCTCAGTTTCATTCTTGTCCTTCGACGACCCACGTTCCCACACTGTACAGAGGAAGTGGTATGGTTTATGTAGAGGCTGACAGAGAGCAGGAGAGAGCATCATTACAGACAACTGCAAAAGGGTTAGAGAGTGGCTAAAGACTGGAGGAGGAAACCACAAGATAGTGGCTTCAACTACTTTAAAATAAAATGAAATGGAACATCCTTCGAACAATCACAACATTCTGACGGGATAAACACTTCATGCCCTTCCCTTCTGTACTTTCAGAGTCAAACCCAGTCTTATTTCTGGGTTGGGTTTCAGACAAATGGTGCATCATACAAATATGATTCATTTGTTTTGGTTTGCCAAGACCAAACGGAAACTGGACGAGTCATGAACAATAAAACAAAAACAAAAAAAGATGACACACTGTAGCAGGGGGTCACAGGGTTAATAACTGTGAAAGAACAATCCAATAAAAAAAGGAAAAGTCTTCGGACTATAAAAACTAAATAGTGCAACATGGGAGCAGGATTATTATCAATTAAACAACAAATGTTTTTTTAAACGTTGACTTTTCAAAGTGTGAGCTCAGGTACAGTCTGTGAAATGAAAGGAGAGGTGAAACACAAGAGAGACATTTCTAACAAGGTTGTTAGCAGTTTACATTCAATGTTTGACTTCATTCTCGTATCGTGAATATTGGGGAGCAAACAGTTGTGCTCTGCTCCTACATACACACCCACCTGCAGGACAGCAGAACCAACAATGAATCCCATGCAGCACTTTAGCTTGTGTTCATCCATAATCAAAAACCCAACCATTATGTAAACTACAAAATAAAACCAATAACAAATATTAAAGCAAGTACTGATAATCACAGAGTACACCATTCCACAACAGTGATCAGTGATATTTATTTTTACAAAAAGACTATTTGGCGGTTGATGGAAGCTGAGGTGCACAAAAGTTGAAGCGGTTGAATGTAGTGTTTGTCATTATTTCCACCTCCATTAAAGTTTCTTAGCTTCTTTGCTAGAGGCTAAATGTACATCAAGTCAATATCAGCAGTTGTTACTCTTTTTTTTTTCTTGTATCTTCATATTTGGTGTGAGGGAGGATGGGCTGTTTAATGAAATGCTCAGTAAAAATGATCAGCTCCACCTGAAGTCACACCTTTCCTTCTTTCTAAGATGGAATGACATTCCTTCATGTTTAAATACTCAAACTTCTCCCTTAAAAATCAAGTTAAAAAGGTGTGTTTTGTTGATCAAACAACAACCCTATTCTGGCAGATTAGGGTATTTAACTGTGCTTTGTTTTCCTTTGTACTGCTTATACAAAAAAAAACTCTAATGTGAAACAAACAGATTGAGATAAAAGATTTAAAATAAAATAAAAGTAAATCTGAGGTTAAATGGAAAAATTGTTAATTTTTAAAAATATTATAGACAATCAACAGTGGGTGGTTTACTTAGTTAGCAAAATAGTGTAATAGCAGGACTTGAACATACTTCCAGGTAGTTTAGTAGTGTACAGTATGTATTTAAGATGGTTTTGAAAAATAAAATAATGGTGAAAATCTTTTTTTTTTTTTGTACAATTTGGTGTGATTTAACCGAACACAACACAGGCATTGAGATTTAGGAAGACAGGCGTCCTTTGTGTGTAAAATGCCCATGGTATTTCTGTGATATACAGAGGGGTCAGTCCAGGAATCCTTCATTTGTTACATTCTGCAACCTGACCAAGAGACTAGTGTCAAAATTTGTATGAGTTAGATCTTTAAAGTAGGAACATGACAAAACTAGTTCCTAAGGGATCAAAGCAGCAACACCTCACCTGTTTCTATTGTTTTTGTTGAGATAAAAACCTGCAGGTAGTGGTTGAATATTTACTGTAAGGACAGAGGACGATCCGTTTAAAGTGCTGCCAAAAAGACATTTAAGAAACATTTCCCCGAATGTCAGACTCGTGAGTTTAGAATGAAATGTGAGAATAACACAATAAAAAGATGTGCGGTTACTCATTAACTTATTTCTAATAGGCATTATAGATGAATGCAGCACTAGTGATCCCACAGCAACATAAACATGGAGATGATGAGTGAGGATGAGAAATGACTCGGTGCTTAGTTTCATTATCATCTGGCTCCAACACAGGAAGAGGAAGTGGTGGAGTTCTGTGGTGAGGAGTCTCCTGAGGACCAAGTGTTGATTAAGTGTCCACAGCAGGGATGTGACACGGGCGGGGCACTCAACTGTTGTAAATCCTCACTGAGCACGAGACTCTGTACATGTTCTGTTTTCACTGTGGACAACTGAATTCATTCTAAAGACTAAGCAGAGAGTGGAGGACTGCAGGCATAGCTACTGAGAGGAGTCGGAACAGGAGTGAAAGAGAGAGAGAGAGAGAGAAAAAGAGAGAGAGAGTAAGTGTGTGTGTTATCAGATCTGTTTGTTGTGTTCTCAGTGATTCTATGAAAATGTACTTGGTGCAGTAAAAGCTGGAGCAGAGGTGAGGCAGGACAGGGAGCAGGTCGGAGTGTTTGAGTCGGAAAGACAGGTTGGGAGGAGGGGTGAGGAAAGGTCTAACACTAGTGTCCTGGTCGCTGCCCAGCTGTCCGCTCTCAGCTCAGATCGTCCTCGGCACTGTGCTGGTCCAGCAGTTTGACGTGTGTGAAGGGAAAGTGGCCACGTTTGCCTTTACACTCCCCCTCCCACTGGCCGTTCACGTTAATTTTGGTCACCTTCACCATGTCGCCCACCTGAGGAGTGGAAAAAAAAAAGTTCTTAGTATGTAATCGGTAAACATTAGAAAAAACAATAATTACAAAATATATAAATAAAGATATGGGGTGATTTTTCCCGCAGGTCTTCGTACTGTCAGAAGATAGTTGCCATATTTCATGTCAATATTAAATGACTGAACAACACTCGAAGTTGAAGCAATGCGCACTAAAAACTTGTGTATGTATATATATAAAATAGTTTTTAGAGCACATGGAGACAATTTGGATCACGTATGATGTAAAAATTGAACCCTAAGTTATAATCTTAGTGACTGGAGGAAGTGTGTCGGTTACAGATGATTGACACAGACAGGGGAGTGTCGCTTCCTGTGTCATTGAACCTGTGCAAACAAGGACTAAGGGTCTGTTCCAAAGTTCAAGTCTGACTGAGTGGTGACTGAACAGACAGAGGTTAAAGCTCTTCCATTCTCGCAGGGTTCATTTTATCAGTTTGATAACCTGGGGCCCGCCGTGACAATTGTGTTTAATGTGTAACTGGCAGCGTTTCTCTCTCTCCACATTCTACAGCTGAACACAGAGTTACAAGTACTTTCCGTCGAAACACGAAAGATTATGGAATTATTTTTTGTGACAAAAACTGAGAATAGTTTTTAGTCCTTTGAGCAGAGTTATTTAAACTTCACATAACTTTGCAACACATTACCAGACCAAGGACCCTTGGCTTAAAGGTCATACTTAATTAGCCACAGCAAAGTGGAAGCCAAAGTCTGTGAACTGCTTCCTTGCCGACCAAGTCCACTGGAAAAAGAAATGGCCTAAGAAGAAACAGTCAGTCTCCTTCAACCACATTTATAATCTTCAACAACAGAGATATACTTTAATAAAAGATTGTAAGAAAAACTGGCTTAAAATGACACATTTGCACAGCTGCTGGGGAGGATGATTAAGTGAGAAATATTTGTCTACAAATACAAAAGACAAGTTAAATCAATGAATATGTTCTGGCTAATTAAATTGTTGAATTAACTAACTACCTGCAATATTTCTAAATGTTTAAAAAATATTACATTCATTTTCATATTTGTGTAATAAATGCACAACATTAAGTACAAACTAAATTCACACTGCCTGTATGTTTTACAGGCACATGTTGGTTTTCATTCAGCAAAACTACTTGTGGCTGTGTATTTTATGCAGGTCACATTTTAACACCACTGTAATTCCAGGATACAAAGCCAGAGCTCGGACGAAAGACAACAATAAAACAAATGTTACCACCGTGTACTGAATGGAACTGGACTTGATGCAGCCGCTACAGAAGCATTAGAGAAAGTTAGGGCTCTCCTGCACGTCAGTCCCCACGACAGGCTCTCTAAACCAAGTCTAGTCTGCAGCCCTGTCGCCATTACGTAACAAGTCACAGCCACTTAACACATGCTGAACACAGCTGCTCGTTACTGTACAGGACCATAAAACACAACGCTGTGTATTTCTGCCACTTTAGCCGCCTGTATTAAAGTCTTTGGGGAGATCACAGACAGTGTGATACAACAAAGAAGAATAATAAGCTTATAATGCTGCATTTATTTGGGAAGGTGTTGTGTCGTCTTCAGCTCCCTGAAGACAATACAAGGAAATGTGGGCTGATTATTAACTGTCCAATAACTGCGTGCTGAGTCACTTCTGGCAATCTTGAAGTAAGAACCAAACCACTTCCAATAAGTCAAAGTTGGAAAACAGTTCAATGGGAGTGGTAAAAGAGACTCTACCTGCCAGTTTAATTACAGGGCAGTGGTTTGAATCAAAGAAAAGACATGAAAACACAATGATGGCATCTGTACAGGTATCTTGAGCAGAAGCATCCAGCAGAGAAAGAGAGACAGGCAGCAACCAGTCTACATCTCAGCTGGACTCTTGGCTTCACAGAGACCAAAGGAAATGGTCCTGTTCCCAAACACAAACTATTTCCTTCCCCCAACGATCTGCTCTGTGGGAGCCCTGCTCTTGCTTCCGGACAGTGTTAAAAGCCCAGCTACCGTGAACAGGGGGCAGAGCTTAATGGTGATGTTCATCCATGGCCACCCTTTTATCTTTTTACTATAGGGTTAAAATGTGCCTTGAACTCAAAAACAAGTCTAAGTGCTGAACGCTGGCGACATGGAGCTGTGTGGACAGACTCCATACGAGCCAAAGTCTCCTATAATACATTGAACTGAATGAGTCTGCCATTTTGAATGAAATCAAAGTCAGTTGTCTTTCAAAGCACAAAGCGTGGCTGGTTTACATACCAATGTGCTCCTGGGTGAGACACTTAAACCTCAAGTTGTTCCTAGCAGCTGTGCCTGCAGCATTCAAATGTGTGGTAGAAGAACAGTGAATAAATGAACTTTAATGTGCCCATGTGACTGAGTGGCTTTAATCTATTAATATTTGAAAGAACCTACTAACAATAATCTAATAAAACATTTTTATTAATTATCTTATATACTCTTTAAGGGTGTCAAAATTAAATCAACGCTAACAGTAATTTATTTAAAAACTTGCCTGGACTTTAAGAAATGGGCAGACTGATATGCACTTTATAGCCCATGACTCTACTGTCCGTCCACTTATCATTGCTTGAACACACAGTCATTAAACATGTTATTTACATAAACTTTGGAAAAGAGTTGTAAACATTAGAAAAAACAATAATTAAAAAATATATAAATAAAGATATGGGGTGATTTTTCCCGCAGGTCTTCGTACTGTCAGAAGATAGTTGCCATATTTCATGTCAATATTAAATGACTGAACAACACTCGAAGTTGAAGCAATGCGCACTAAAAACTTGTGTATGTATATATATATAAAATAGTTTTTAGAGCACATGGAGACAATTTGGAACTATTTGGTCACGTATGATGTAAAAATTGAACCCTAAGTTATAATCTTAGTGACTGGAGGAAGTGTGTCGGTTACAGATGATTGACACAGACAGGGGAGTGTCGCTTCCTGTGTCATTGAACCTGTGCAAACAAGGACTAAGGGTCTGTTCCAAAGTTCAAGTCTGACTGAGTGGTGACTGAACAGACAGAGGTTAAAGCTCTTCCATTCTCGCAGGGTTCATTTTATCAGTTTGATAACCTGGGGCCCGCCGTGACAATTGTGTTTAATGTGTAACTGGCAGCGTTTCTCTCTCCACATTCTACAGCTGAACACTGAACACAGAGTTACAAGTAGTTGTGGTCGAAACACGAAAGATTATGGAATTATTTTTTGTGACAAAAACTGAGAATAGTTTTTAGTCCTTTGAGCAGAGTTATTTAAACTTCACATAACTTTGCAACACATTACCAGACCAAGGACCCTTGGCTTAAAGGTCATACTTAATTAGCCACAGCAAAGTGGAAGCCAAAGTCTGTGAACTGCTTCCTTGCCGACCAAGTCCACTGGAAAAAGAAATGGCCTAAGAAGAAACAGTCAGTCTCCTTCAACCACATTTATAATCTTCAACAACAGAGATATACTTTAATAAAAGATTGTAAGAAAAACTGGCTTAAAATGACACATTTGCACAGCTGCTGGGGAGGATGATTAAGTGAGAAATATTTGTCTACAAATACAAAAGACAAGTTAAATCAATGAATATGTTCTGGCTAATTAAATTGTTGAATTAACTAACTACCTGCAATATTTCTAAATGTTTAAAAAATATTACATTCATTTTCATATTTGTGTAATAAATGCACAACATTAAGTACAAACTAAATTCACACTGCCTGTATGTTTTACAGGCACATGTTGGTTTTCATTCAGCAAAACTACTTGTGGCTGTGTATTTTATGCAGGTCACATTTTAACACCACTGTAATTCCAGGATACAAAGCCAGAGCTCGGACGAAAGACAACAATAAAACAAATGTTACCACCGTGTACTGAATGGAACTGGACTTGATGCAGCCGCTACAGAAGCATTAGAGAAAGTTAGGGCTCTCCTGCACGTCAGTCCCCACGACAGGCTCTCTAAACCAAGTCTAGTCTGCAGCCCTGTCGCCATTACGTAACAAGTCACAGCCACTTAACACATGCTGAACACAGCTGCTCGTTACTGTACAGGACCATAAAACACAACGCTGTGTATTTCTGCCACTTTAGCCGCCTGTATTAAAGTCTTTGGGGAGATCACAGACAGTGTGATACAACAAAGAAGAATAATAAGCTTATAATGCTGCATTTATTTGGGAAGGTGTTGTGTCGTCTTCAGCTCCCTGAAGACAATACAAGGAAATGTGGGCTGATTATTAACTGTCCAATAACTGCGTGCTGAGTCACTTCTGGCAATCTTGAAGTAAGAACCAAACCACTTCCAATAAGTCAAAGTTGGAAAACAGTTCAATGGGAGTGGTAAAAGAGACTCTACCTGCCAGTTTAATTACAGGGCAGTGGTTTGAATCAAAGAAAAGACATGAAAACACAATGATGGCATCTGTACAGGTATCTTGAGCAGAAGCATCCAGCAGAGAAAGAGAGACAGGCAGCAACCAGTCTACATCTCAGCTGGACTCTTGGCTTCACAGAGACCAAAGGAAATGGTCCTGTTCCCAAACACAAACTATTTCCTTCCCCCAACGATCTGCTCTGTGGGAGCCCTGCTCTTGCTTCCGGACAGTGTTAAAAGCCCAGCTACCGTGAACAGGGGGCAGAGCTTAATGGTGATGTTCATCCATGGCCACCCTTTTATCTTTTTACTATAGGGTTAAAATGTGCCTTGAACTCAAAAACAAGTCTAAGTGCTGAACGCTGGCGACATGGAGCTGTGTGGACAGACTCCATACGAGCCAAAGTCTCCTATAATACATTGAACTGAATGAGTCTGCCATTTTGAATGAAATCAAAGTCAGTTGTCTTTCAAAGCACAAAGCGTGGCTGGTTTACATACCAATGTGCTCCTGGGTGAGACACTTAAACCTCAAGTTGTTCCTAGCAGCTGTGCCTGCAGCATTCAAATGTGTGGTAGAAGAACAGTGAATAAATGAACTTTAATGTGCCCATGTGACTGAGTGGCTTTAATCTATTAATATTTGAAAGAACCTACTAACAATAATCTAATAAAACATTTTTATTAATTATCTTATATACTCTTTAAGGGTGTCAAAATTAAATCAACGCTAACAGTAATTTATTTAAAAACTTGCCTGGACTTTAAGAAATGGGCAGACTGATATGCACTTTATAGCCCATGACTCTACTGTCCGTCCACTTATCATTGCTTGAACACACAGTCATTAAACATGTTATTTACATAAACTTTGGAAAAGAGTTTTCTTTTCACTGACACACCTCTGACTCAAAATACCATATTAATGCCCAGCATGTGTTTAAGTGAACTTCAGGTAAACTTTACAAGTGGAAAATGTGTTTTATGAAATAACGTAAAATGTGCCAATGTAAATAATGAGTTTCATAATGTATTATACTTTTGAAGTATGTCTTGAATGACAAGAAAACAATGTGCATTTCTTGCCTCAGAAATGTAAAAAAAAGAAAATTACACTTTTTTAAAGGGTCTCATCAGATTTAGAAATGCATAATAAATCCTTTAAACACTGTGGCTCACTGGACAGGATCATGTTTACATTTACGCATTTAGCAGAAACTTTTACCCAAAGTGACTTAGAGAGGAAGGTTAACATTAACAAGCACGTGGTTCCTCTGGGAATCGGACCCATGACTCTCTGCTTCCGAGGAAGGCGTGCTAACCACTACACCAAGGAACCATGTTACACTTTGTGGCCTCACAGAAACCCAATAAGACTTTCGCACATTGTTTGAGAAGTGTTAGTCAACAAAATGTGCACATAGATGGAATTTACCTCTAAGGCCAGAGCCGTCTTGTCATAGGCATTGGGCACCCTCTTCTGTATGGCCCTGGCCAAAACTGGTCCATTCTGAAGATTTGGAAGCGGGGTAGGTTGGGCATACTGGCCAGGTTCACCCTGAGGTGGAGTGCCGGACTGAGCCACAGAGCCGTCAGAGTTCCCTACCATCCCAATCCCTCCCAAAGGTCCCCCTTGAACACCAGGCCCTGCCATTGAACAGGGAGATGCAGGTCGATACTTCTCTACATACGGCACTGGGATCATCCCTGCTCTGCCTTCTGTATTCTGGGCATTCCACCATTCTTCCTCTGGCTTTTCCAGAACTCGCAGAATATCACCCTTCCTAAAAGGAAGGTCCTCATCATCATTACCAGGGAAATCAAAAAGCGCTCGAACATATTCATCTTCCAGGCGTGGTGGAGGTACGCAGCCGGGACCGACACTGAAGAAGGAGATGTGCTTGGACTTGTTGATAGGTTCTATCAAAGTGGTCGTGTCCAGGTAGTGGATTTTATAGAATTCTAGCAAGAAAGAGAGAGCCTCAAACTCCTGGTCACCGATGCGGAATCTGGAATGACCCAAACCTGGTGGAAATAAATCACAATCGGAGACGTGTCAGCATATTTAGATCAAGCAGAAACAGTGTCTGTCTATTTTTGTCACATAGCGTGATGCTGGTGATTTCCAGAATGACAAAGAAGGACGTCCGTTTCCTTATTAACATTTTGTTCCTTCTAATGTTAGGTCTGTATTGTCACAAAGGACATAAGGAACTAGGTATTCTGCTGCAGTTCTTACACAACATAATAACCCCAGTAGAGTCAGAGACAACAAACGTCTGTACCAAGTGCATTAAAACATGACAAAATAACAGACCTTTGACCATTAACAACGAAGCCAAGGTAAGCTGGTAACTGAGACAAGTATTCAAGGCGCGCCAGACCACAAGTCTCATTAAAACAATATGTTCTTTGCAAACTCACACCACCCATTGCAGAGAGCATTGGTAACGAGAGGACTGTATATTTGTTTTGTTCTGAAACACTGCGCTATAAAGTGCATGTTTGAGTGCAACAATTTAAGACCAGGTGTAGACAAACAAACATCATAATGGCACGTGTTTTGGGGTGTCTGGCCTGCATACAAGGCAAGAAGCAAACCGGACCACTGCGCATAGCCTTTGGTGCAAGTCATGCAAGAATGGTCACATCAGCAGCATCTATACATGTCTTCTCCAAATAAACCCCCGCTATTAGCTTACCTGGACCGCACTGTCGGTTGTTGCTGATGCTGTTTATTATGTAATGAGAGACTTTGGAGTTCTCGGATACGGACAGCACAAAGTCTCCAGGGCTGGTGATGGAGTCCCGCACCAGAAACACGCCGTGCCGCTGCCCCTGCAACAGAGACACAGCCTCCTGTCTGCGTAACCGACCCCAGTACCAACTGCTGCGGTCCTCCGCGTCAAAATTTCCTGCCATGTTAGTTACTCCAAAGCCGAGGCTTCACCGGGCCTTTCCTGCTCTCCCTCCCGTTATCCACAAGCGAAGCCCAAGCAACTCATACAAAAACTTTAGCGCTTAGAGCACGTTTAGTAAACAGGCGACATCCACAGCTAGCTGTCTGGACATCAATTCACCAACAAAGAAGCCCAATTGCGGAACAAAAATCCCGATGTTTACGTTGTTGGCGGAAATACGCTCAGTTTTTCATTCTAAGCGTTTCAGTGGGAGATATCCAGCTACAATGCAGCAGCCGATGACAACTAACTTCAAAAACTGAAATGGCGGATAACGGGAAAACAAAAAAAAAATCCCATTCCCAGCGGATGTGACGTGGGAATTTTGTGCTCCCATTACAAATGTATCAAGCTGGAAAAAGAAACATGTTACTTCCGTTCCGATGGGAACTGAGGTGTAAACCATATCCCGAACACCACTAGCTTGAATGACGTATTATTATTATTATTATTATTATTATTATTATTATTATTATTATTTTGTTGTTTCACAGCATGTGATCTTAAGCAATTACTAATAGCAGACATGGATGGATTACTTAAGTATTGTCAAATTTCCAGAGGTCTATACCTAACCACCTTATATTGTTGTAGTTCTTACACGTTTAGTTAGTTCATCCACTTTGTCCGGCGGGAAGGAGGAGGAGGGGGGAAAAAGATCATGCATATAATATAAAAGTTGAGTGATTTATTAATCCTGTTATAATCGATACGTTCTTTATTTACACAACACAGTTGAAATAGTCCATTATCATATGAAATGGTAAATAAAAGTGTGTATGGTCCTAAATAAAAACCTGTAAATTAGTGTATGTTCATTATGGTCAGGAGAGTAATATCCTAGGACAAAAATGGTAACCTATTATGCCTGCTATTTACTATTTTTAATTTATATTTTAGTACTTTAGTTCTGCTTTTAATATAATGTTTTACATACAATGTTTTACAGCCTTAAGTACAAAAATGGCTAGGCTTAGGTTTAAAGACCCGCTTTTTAAGGTAAAGCTAGATAAGTTACAATAAAAGAAATGTAAATTTTAATAAAAGTCATGTATAATACAAGTGTTCTTGGGATTTTTGTTCCTTGTTTAACTTTTGTATGAATGAGACACTGATAAAGCTTCGGAGAAGTTTGACTAGAGAAGCTTTCACTAACATTTCCACATCCACATGCTGCATGAGACCTCAGGCTGCAGGACTTTGACAGATCAGATTAGATCAGATCAAACTGTGTTGGGACTGTGCAATAAGTAGGTCAGACCGGAAGTACATGTCATACTGTCAGGATTAAAGATCAATCTCTGCCTCCTCTCTTCACTTTTGTCTGTAGTCAGGCGGGTACATGTTTGTATAATGTGTGTATGGGTAAGTGCAGCTGACAAATTCTGTATAATTAAATGTTTTGTTTATTTCACAAAACATAGCTCTTTCATGGCTTTTGTAATGTTATTCCAGAAAGAAGAAGAAGAAGAAGTTATTCATCTGAAAGATCTAAAGTTTTAATGATCAAAAATCAATTGTTGATCTTAAATGTCTCCCTTCTCTTTTGTCTGCTTTTTAAATCTTCTACTTGACTCTTTTGAACCTTTTTTGAACAGGCTCTGGTTGGAAAACAAAAACAAAAACAAAACTCCTGTTACAACAGTAGCAGAGGAATGCTGACAATTGTTTTTTTGACATGATGGATAGTATTACAATTGACCAGACTCCACAGGGACAAACATAAAAATAGCCTGTTAGCCTTCCAGGGGAAGCAACAGGCTAACATTAGCCAGTTAATTAAATATGTAAATGTTAGATATCAGTAACATCAATTATTACAGTGAAAACATATATGTCCTTATATAGCAATTTGTGAATATGGATATCATATATATATGTATATATACACAGTATATACTGTATAATACTATTCATTCTTTTATGAAGTTTGAGTATGCGATTTTTCCTTGTAGTTTTCGCCTAGCACAGAATGTAGGCGATGAGCCAGAACCACGATGTCATGAAAACACACGACGTAAGTACAACTTAAGCGCTATTTATATGTTATATTTTTCTTTACTTAAGAGGTATTGTCTATTTTAACCACACGATGTCGCCAAAAAGCACAAATTTGATTTCGAAATATAAACCGTTGGTCAAAGAAGAGTGCAAAGAATGTGAACCCACGTAAAATATGGTAAACGCTGAACATTAAATCCTACCGATCCCTTCAATATAAATATCTACAAATGGTCACTTCACTCACCTGTTCCGTCTCAAAATGTAACCATTACCTCACATTCTTTTTTTTATTGTCATATCTTTTTGGTTTTCTATCTACTTGAACAAACAAACAAAAGCATGTACTGCACATTAAGATAAGGAATAGTTTGTTTTATGTAAACGCATGGACGGATAGAAATATAAACATGCATCAGATTACATCAGGTTACATCTGTTTCATGCCTCTGTCTCTTTTATCTCAATGGCCCAAACAGAAAAAGAGATCATGTTGGTGGCGGAGCACAAAGTATTAAAGTTTGAGAAGAGTAGGATCAGACAGATATATTGGTTTACTATCTCTCAGACTGATATTTGATAGTTGTCCTTTATTAAAAATCAAATCCACTGTCTGCCACCATCCATCTCTGAAATGGTGTTAGTTATTTATTTTATGGTGTCATCATTTAACCTGTCTTCCTGCACTGCAAAGCAATCCATCTGGAAATGATGATTGTACGTTTGGTATTCAGTGACAGAGCAGAGTATCATAAAATGTTAGTACTGCTGCTCTCCTCTAGAGGAAGCCAACAGGATTCCTTAGCCTTGGCATTGCAGATAAAAGCAGTCTTTTCTTCAATGAGAAAGTTTCAGGAAAGCATGCTCATCTCCCTCTGAGCTTCTTAGTCCCACAGGAAATGACAGTGGCTCAGAATGAGCTTTTCAAATAAATCGTTTGCGAACTCCACAGGGAGCAGAGCTCAGTCCAAAAAGAAAAGGAAATACCTTAAAGGGTTCAACAAGAATAATAATATAATCTAAAATTGACTTTACTAGAAATTTTTTTTCTTTAGAAAACTTCAAGTTTCAGGCTTTTTCTTGAAGATCTGTGTGTAGAGCCACATTTTCACAGACAAGAATTGGAACAGTACCATGGCAGCAGATGCAGACTTTGTTCTAATGCATCTTTCACATTTATCCACGGGCCATGAAATGTGCTCGTGTCTACACAAGTACATTTCAGAAAGTGGAAAGAAAGTAGAGACTAAGGCCGACGGAGAGTCGTCAAGTTGTGATTCGTACAACAATGAGCTGGATCCATGGAACTTGTTCTAAACAGTAAAACAGCAGGGGGAGTCGGTCAACTGTTGTTCCAGGACCGTTCAGTCCTCCATGCATGTACGTCGGTGATGATGTACTGGGAAACACCTATTGTACCGTGATGCTACAAAAGGCTGAACACAAAAGCAGACTTTTACTATCTACCAGTAGGTGACCGAGAGAGACAGAAAGAGAGAGAGATACAGAGACAGAGAGAGAGAGAGATGACTCAGCTGAGAACACAGTGACACTGATAATGAGCTGTATACACACAGGAGTCAGGTAAGACACGCACACTCTCTCTTACACACACACCTGAGCACAGTGATCCTTTGAGTTTATTCACACATTAAACAGTGACCAACAGAGAGGAGGAGTTAGCAGCAGCAGCAGCTGTGAGGACGAGCAGCTGGACCAGCAGATGTACACTTGTCCATCAGATGTTTCAGGTTGGCGTGAGAGGAGACATGCACTCTCAACAAACTGTACAACCCCATGTACCGCTCATCACTGTACAAAGAGTCTTATTTTATACCAACAGATTCTGAATACAAAAGTAAGTTCTTTTTTTCTTTTTTTAAATAACACTGTGTACAAATGTTCGATTCTGTATTTGCACGCTGCAGTGCTCTGAACTGACACCGTCCCGTTGTATGGTGATTTGACTGCGAGTGCATGACGAGTGACATCACTCAACTGTCCATCCTTTATGTCTTGAGAGCATGCATTTTGACCAGGAAATATGAGATATAAAGGGTCCAATAACAGCAGAGGTCAATCCATTTCTCAGACAAGCCCCCACCTCCTGATCAGGTTGCCCAGAAGGGTCAAAATATTTCTGCCCCCATCCCCGTGAGCTGGGCTGCAGCCAGGCAACATCATCTCCTCTTATCTTCATCCAGCCTTTGATAAATATCCCTGCTCCTCTGTGGATGTCTCTGAAGACTTTAGTTGGAACTTTGATCAGAGTCTGTCCCACTGATTCTCTGTCTTGTCACTGAACTTTGATACAAATCACTCCTGGAATCAGGCATTATCTTCTGTGTTGGTTTTTTTTTTTAAAAAGCAAGCATTGGTATTTCTTAAAAACTGTACAAACACCCAGGAGCGAGAGAAGGGCAGGCAACACGACAATCATGGCAGTTACACAGTGACCATTGCTCTGATAGCCACAAGAGGGCAGCATTGCAAAACAAATGGAAACTCCAACACCAAACAGAATGGATCGGAAAATCCCAGTTTATTATAAATTCTCTCCTCCCTCCCCCCAAATGTTACGTCTTACTTTTGGAACCGATCACACATCCACAATTTCTTTCTATTTTTTCCCCCTGGTTGCATAATTGATGCTTACAAAAAATTAAGACATATGTTGATACATGTTTATGATTTCATACATGGCAGAAAATGCTAAAATATATAAAAATAGATGATTTCAAGATAAATTCAAACATAGAAAAATATATATGTAACAAAATTATATTTATGTCAGAATAGTCATGTTTGAGTAAAGCCTGATTTATACACAGTTGCATAACACTCTTACTGAAAATATGATAGTTTTTATACTTTGGCAAAACATTTTAGTCATCATCCTTTCAGACAGCTTTGGATTTGTGAATATCCCATCATCTTATCTGTAAATCCACCTGTGGGCTTATTCTTACTATCCCTGTCTGTCTTTTTCTGTTTTGATAATGAATGGATTTGATAATGTGAGTATAAGACATGGAAATAGACAGTATCAGTGGAAAAGAGAAAGAGCTGCCTCTAGAAATTCTTTATATCCATGTAAGGCAAACCCTAATGTCCACGATCTGAAAACGCTTTATGTAACCAGTCAACGCGGCACAAAGAGACTGTCGTCATATCAGATGGCCTGAAGATCTCTGAGGACGTCTCGTAAAGTAAACTATTAAGGTAAAGAAAAAAAAAAACAAAAAACACTTTTCATGTCATTCACACTACAAATCAACATGTCAGTGGGTCCGTTTAAACTCACCAAACCAAACAGCACTGCCGAGGTTAAAGAGTAAGGGTTTGACGAGCAACTAAATTATTTAAACCACATTCTTTCTTCCACATTTAGATCAACACCCATGCATGTGGTCGATGACATGATTTAAAACAATCACACACACAAACTTGTCATACAATGTAAACTGAAACCTCATGCGTGTTTAGTTGAACACAACCCTGATTTACTCACAGGAATTGAAGAAAGACTGAAGAAGAAGTCTCTTTTTTTTTAGTTTATATAGTTATCTGCTGCCACCTAGAGGGATAGTGTTTGATTGTTCTGCCTATCACTATGGTATTGATGAACAAAAGTATATTAATTGCATTCAATAAATAATAGTTTTCAGACCAAAAAAGTGAAAATAGTTAAATTACCACTGCCTTATTGTCACAGGTCTGAGTATAATTCAGGCTTCTCAACGACAGAACGGATTTAATGTGAAACTAAAAAGTTTGCTTCTGGTTTAGGCACAACTCTGCAGGAAAGACGGTCGAAGACCAGAGGCTTTTGGCCTGATGTGAATGGACACATGGCCTTTATCAATTAGGACGCGAGCTCATTGAAATGTAGCAATGAAAACCAACAACAACGAGTTGAGTTTGGTCTGAGGTGCGTCCCCAGAGACATATCCTTGTGTCTCAACCACCAAATCTGATGTTTATTATTTCTGGGAGCACACTCTGTCAGTCCCATGTGCCAGCTGCTCTTCCTTCCTACAACATCATGTCAGTCATGCTCATTGGTCAGGTCAGGCGTCATTGTACAGTCTCTCAAAGCTGTCAGTCAAGCTGCACTGTAAATGTGTGCTGCCATGATTACCTCATCCGACACGGTGACCCTGGAAACACATACATTTTCGTGCAGTTTGACCCCAACACTCTGAAGACGAGAGCTCCGCAGCATCCTGCTACAGTTGACGCATGAATGAAGTAGAACAGGTTGTGTGTGAATATGTGTGTATGCCTGCTGGGGTTAAGACGTTAGTTGTGTTAATTAATGGGTGCAGGTCCAAAGGTCCAGGGCCCCGGGGGCAGAGGTCACCATACTGAGCATTTGTCGACAGGGTTCATGGGAGAACCCTTTGGACAGTGGAACACACGGGCAAACTCGTCAAACTGAGAAACGCTGCCGATAACTCTGCAGGAAGAGTGAAGCACACACACACAAGTTGAACAACAGTTATTATGTGGACATGAGATACAGCTTTAGTCCAGGGCTGTTAAAGAATAAAAGGTGTTTTCATTTGATTATTCTGAATCTTACTGGAACAGAAAGACCAACAACAGCAGGTAGATGTATGTGATTTTAAACTTAAAAAAATTATTTTGGCATCCAATCACAGGCCAGATTGGATGGTTCAGTGGGCTGGATTTGGCCCATGGGCCACCAGTTGATGATCACTGTCCTACATATTCTGAATGGCTACTTCATATATAGACTCTAATTCTGACCATTCTGTGTGTGAATCTCTCCATTAGGTGACCCCCCCCCCCAGACTTTCCCTTTATCTTTACTATGGAGACTCTTGTTTTTCCTCTTTGTTTTGTCAGTCACACCCCTTATGTTTACACTCATGTATATGTATTATCTTCCGCTCATACATTTTCAGAATTTTTATCCACTGCCACACAATATATTCCTGGAGGTAAATAAAGTTATTCTGAGTCTTGGTGTATGGTACCTGTAGTGCTCTGGAGCATGTTTGTCAGTCAGCAGCTGAAGGTAAATGGACTGAGATCTCCTCTTCATACACCAGTTCTGGAATGAAAGCATCACCGCAGCAGTGTGATTACGTTATCTTTGACTTCGTTAAAACATGTCTGTGTGACGCGCCGCACGCCGGATGAAAATGAACATAAACGTGTTTAAAAGTTGATAAACCTGATAACAGATGTACTGTATCTGTACAAACCACTGCATGAGTTGCTGCCACCTAGTGACTGGAGGCTTGGTAGCATTCAAGCATCACAGCAGTGGTACACTTATGTCCAGTGTGCCATATTCCACTGGAAGCCCATCACGCCCGGCACTGCACCCCCCTTTCCCCCCCGGGGGTCTTGACCCACTGTTTGGGCACCGCAGCCCCCTGACCCCCCGGGGGTCTTGACCCACTGTTTGAGCAGTACTGGGTTAATGCAACCGCCACCCCTACCTGCTCTGTGTGATCAGCGGCTCCAGCTGAGAGGAACACAGCTGAAGACATGGCCTCAGACACTAAAGGAACGACATATGAGTGAGAATGAGTTCGGGAGGTTTTTGCACCTGTGCGAAGGCGATGAAGAGCAGCTGTTCGTGTGTGTATTTGAGTCCAGGCAGGGGCCTCTCTGGACCATGTTCCCTCACCCACTTCTGATATGCCTGCACAGGGAGGGAAGGAACGGTGACAGAGACGTAATAAAGAAATGTTCTCACACTTCCTGTCAAAATGGAATTAAGGAACAGGCAGTTATTTCTTTTCCAGGTGTTTTTTTCTTGTGTGACACAAAGACAGAGGACATGCAGTCTATTCTATACATGCAGTACATGCAGTAACACTGTCTTGACTTTTACAGTGGCAGTATTTTTGTACATGAACATAAATGACAGTGGTTATTAGACTTAGTTTTTCTTTGTCATTAAGTTTTACATCGCTGCGATGCTTCTACGAACGGCATTTCATTGCTCCAACTAAAATTGCAGCTGCTGAACATAATAAAAGCAGAATAAACTGTGCGTTCATAAATTACTTTAAAGGTATGTTAAAATAGTCGTTATGTAAAACAAAGAGAATCAGTTTTAGGACGAGAACAACAAAGGAAGTCACCCTGGCATCTGAAATAACGCAGTGATGTAGTAACGTTATCAGATGTTACTCACATAGTACGAAAGCTTCAGTCCTCCCATGTCTGCTATGTTCTCTCCCAGTGTCAGACGACCATTCACCTAAACACAGAAACAAAGGTGAAAAGTCTAAAACACAGGAGGACCTTTAGAGTTCGATATATATTTTTACACATATTTTAGGGTTATTTCAGTCATTAACATCTTTGTCATTAAGGGAATTTATTCGACAAAGAGTAAAGAGTTGTGTTGATCTGTGAAAACCTTACTCATTGTTAGAGAGTCAACCGAAAAAAATGAAAAAACAAAAAACAAAACAAACCAACATCATAACGCTGAGGAATAGTTGATCAACTTTGGTGTCACCAGAAACTCAAAGTTTTCTGTGACAGTTTTGGCCTCAAAACTAATGAAGATTTACCCTGTGATACAAGCTAATGCTAAATCCAGCATAGCTGAAAGCTAAAAATGGCCGTCCATGACCTCAAATTTGTGGTAAAATACTCAGCAGTTAGCTGTATTTCCTTTATGTCCACAACAGCATTAGATTCGATTGAAAGCTAGCATCATACGATGACTAGCTTGTGGCGCTATCTTGAACAATTTGCTGACTATTTGTTGTTGTTCCATATAAACCCACTTCGGAGATACAAAACTGCATCTACTACAGATTTTAGACAAAAAGATTCTATGTTAAACTGTTCCCTGGGAGCCATAGTGTCACGACATTTAGATAGCATTCAGAAGCTGATGTATTTTTAAGAAGGTAATAATGGTGATACCAAGGGAAATCAAAAAATTCTAAGACAGAATAAAAAAACCCAAAAACTTTACAAACATTAAACTCTTAATATTTCTGTATACTGGGTTCATTTCGTATCTTTCTATTCCAGATAAAAGATCAGATGGGGCTAGATCAAAACCTGCTGCAAATACTTCTAACAGGTTTCCACTCAAGTTTGTCTAACTTTGAATTTTAATTTGAATCGTGCCCCAAATTCCAAATCTGGTATTTTCTTAGGAAAACTGATTACAGAAGGTAAAAGATCAAACTCAACACTTGTAAAGATAAAAGTTTTCAAAGCCGTTTATAAGAGAGGGAGAAGGTCACAGAGGTCGCGATGATGAGCTTATTCCTGCTTCCTGCCTTTTCCTTAATTTGTTTCTGATAATTGATCCTTACAAGAACAAAAACTGGTTTTCTTTTCCTTAATTTGTTTCTGATAACTGATCCTTACAAGAACAAAAACTGGTTTCAATTAGGGATAGTCCTGACAGAAACAGTTCCTTAAGCCTAGGTTCGTGTGTGTGTGGTTGTGCTCTTTACTCACCTTCTGGTTATAAACAGAGAAGTTATCGTAGAGCTTGACGATACACTCCGTTTTCTTCTGGAACTTCTTGTAAGAGTCCTCCGTCCACCACTGTTTGAGGTTTCCATTGCGGTCATACTGACCCCCTAGGGACATGAACCATTGCATCACTAAGATGAGGGGCAAAAGTGCAGGTATGTTAGCATGGACACAGCACAACCAGTAGCCTTTCTTCACAGTCCAAAGAGCTGCCCAGCAGGTCACACGTCAGCCTTTTTCATTAGCTGCATGAGTCCAGCCATTAAAAGGCAAAACAGTGGTTGGCTTTTTCAGCTCATGACTGACGGCTTTTCCAACCAACTAAATTGGTACGATGAAACAATGGCTCACGACGCCGTCAGTGGGGGCTGCGGCAGAGCACAAACTTATTTATCACATTCAAAGTTATTCAATCCTGACTGGAATTTTAAGAGCATTTCACTCTTTTGTTAATACCTGGTGGGCAACACTTGTGACTGTAATTTGAAAGTTAGAGATCGTGGCTCAAAACAGACTTTGCTGCACAGTTGAAATCATCCATTTCATTTTATTGGAAAACACACAAATCATCCGGAAGCCCCAGACAGTACCCTGGGAGACGGGGCAATTATGGCTAAAATGGCTGAGACGGTGATGGACCATGGAGCAAAACCTGTCATCCTCACCCCAGTCGTCGTATCCGTGCGTTAGCTCGTGGCCGATGATGGCTCCTATTCCTCCGTAGTTGAGGGACCTAGCACAAGGAAGAGAAAACATGGGGCAGCCATATTGGACATGGTTAGACTCCACAGGTGCACCGACCATAGGCTGTTTGGAGTTTGACGTATTGACGCATCGTCGGGTGTAATTGGGTCTTGCATCATATCACGGCTAGAAAACCAGGCTGACGCACAGACGGCATCTCAGTTAAAACACGACTGCCGGCAGAAGCACACAGGAAGGTTTTATTAAAGTAACATAAGGATAATCTAATAAAGGACGTCGACAATATCTGTGTCGTCTGTTCGATGTCTTTTAAATTTGTGGACCAGCCTTTTATAAATGAAAACTTAAGCTTTCATTGTTTTTTTTGTCTGTTTACAACCCACTTACTTCATGCACCAATATGTATAGAGAGAATCTGAAATCTTTTAGTTTGTGAAAATAAGAGTATTAATTCACAAATGGTTCCATTCATGGATTTAAATTGTGGTTTTACTTACTTAAAAAATTCAGAGAGAGAGAGAATTCTTTTGGTCTTACATATCTACAGTGACCTCCACATCTGTGAATCATTTTCCACATGGACTTAATAATATAATAATCAACATAATCTGGACAAGTTTGGCGGGCCGGATTCAAAAGCCAAACGGGCCGTTTCTGGCCCCCGGGCCTTAGTTTGCCTATGCATGATTTAGCCACAAGCCATAAGGCTCTTGTATTCATAACAATCTGTAAAAGAATTCCTTTTAAACTTGAAACAAAGCACTGCTTCATAAACAAATCAGCCTCTCAGCGTGTAGGACTAGAGATCGACTCAAATGCCCTTCATGACGTCACCAGTTTACTTTACATTTTGTTCCTATGGCCACACCAGTGCCTAATGAAACACTGGTGACATCAGCGACTTATTTTGCGTCTGCACAGTTCAGATTAGTTCAGATAATGTGATGCTTGATCATAGCCATCGGACAAGCGCAGGTTTCTGCTCCACGGCTCCTGCACCTGCATACATCCGTCGTTGCCACAGACCTGCACAGGTAGCTCTCCCGCCTCTCCTTGACCACGGGCCGTTGCGAAGTGCTGTCTCTGCAGCTCATGCAGATACAGAGAGCGATGAGAGGGCAGGCTCGGGGCTATTCACATGGCTACGTCTGAAAATGACTTTCTGACAGCTAGTCGATTCGCTGCCTCACACTGGGCCCCGGCTCTCTGGCTGAACTAACGGGCTGATTGAAGCTTCATTATACTCAACGTGATACTGGAGGTGTGAGTGTGAGAGGGAGAAGGAGACTTTATGTGAGGTTAGGGCCACTGCAGTAATAACTTAAGGGCGAGAAGTGCATTCACACACACACACACAAACACACTCTGCCAAAAGCATAAATTAATATTGATTAACATGCACGGCAGCAGGAAGTGGACGCAGTGGTGATCACCTCTAATGAAGTCACTGAAGTGCCAGTTTATGTTGGATACACAAGCTGCTATGTCTCATTAACTCATATTTGTGAGAGGCATGTGTGTGTGTGTGTGTGTGTGTGTGTGTTTTGTTGCTGTGGCGACCTGCTTTGAATGCAACTGTTACAACCTCTGTGTCTGTGCACATACACTGGCTGTAATGGAGGAGCAAACGGATGGTGCTAATGTCAGCCGCTTTGTGTGTTTTGCGTGAAAAAAAGAAAAAGAAATAAGGAAAATACACAAAGTAACATCATATATAACGTGTCAAAGTAGGTCGTATCACTAAGTACTTTTTCCCCGGAACCGATTTGTGCTGGTTTTTACAGGTCTGAAGTCATTGGTATGCTACTAAAAAAGTAAAATAAAGTGAGTTTCTGTTAGTAACTGTTCATTTGTGTCATGGTTAGATGTAAAGTAGAGGAAAGTGGACCTTTTTCAAACAACATGATATAAAACTGAAGTAGTCTAATTATAGTACTTAAGAGTACTTACGGGGATTTGCTAAGGACAGGCTGTCTTTATTCAGGAGATTGATACAAAGGTACATTTCCGCAACACTCTCTGTGGAATAAAACTATATGTATTACCGATGTCTCATGTTGACGTTTTGACAGTATCTGATATTGTCCGAACACTTGAGTTCCGATCCCGACATATGCAGTCACAATGTGAATAATCCACTTTCACTTCACAATAATAATCTTAAAAATGATGTCATGACGTCTACCTCGCCGGAGTACACAAAGCCATTTTTCTTTCCTAATAGATCTGATATATTCCAAGATGACGGTGCCAGAACTGATTCATCTCAAATCTTGAAACAACGGAACCGACAGCGTGAGTCAGCATTTCCAGTCAAACACAGTAACTGACCACCACGGAGTCTAGACCTTTGACCTTCTCAGAATCCCTGCCATGTGTTGGAGATACTTTCTACCGCAGTCAAAGACGAACTTTGGAAAATCTGGAAGAAAACATCTTTTTCATGTATTTATCAAACAACTCCATAATAATAGCCATTAAAACGAGTTAGGGTTGTGGTTCGTTTTTATGTAGGTCTGCTTTTTGATAGGACGACCACGACTTCATAAAATCAGATCACTGTGACATCTGTCCAAACATGTCGAGGTTAACGTCCGACTATCAGCAACCGTCAGAATATCTGCCTTGACGTAATAAACCCAGAAGAACTTCCTCCTTTCAGGCACCAAATCTCCGATCCAAATCTCAGGCTAGTTTTGTTTGCCCCAGTGAGGCAATAAAGAAGGAACAACTGGAGCGCACGTGATGTAAAGCCGGTGATTTTCTTAAGGATTTTTTTTTTAAATGATCGTGAGGTTTATAAAACACTTCATTCTTAGGTTTCCTGTTGTAAAGATGCATCGTGACAAAGTATTTGTTCGATGTTTTGAACGTCTACACTGCAGATATGTTAGTACTGTAATGACTTCTCGTCTTCTTGTCTCCCTGCTGGCAGTTACGCTATCACAGAGAACAAGCATCCACATCTTTTATTGTTTATTGGATAAAAATAAAACACCGGGGAGTGGAGAGCAGAGCACACTGCAGCTCTGACTGTGTCTGAACCTGAGACACAAACGTTGGAAAAAGCCTGAACTAACCTTTAAGAGCTGGAACCTGTGGAGCAGAAACTTGTAATTATTTTCTTACAGGTGATTGCACGGTGTAATGGAGATAAGAAAACAACGGCGTACGTGTTTATGCTCTGAATCTGAATAGAACAATGGCGCCCACTGTGTCTTCTTCAGCATCTTTAGTGTCTTTAGTATTATTAGTATTATTAGTATTATGTCTTTAGCATCTTTAGTATTATTATTATTAGCATTATTATTAGCTGTCTTTAGCATCTTTAGTATTATTAGCACGTCTTATTTAATGACATGACACTGACTCTCCTTATTCAACGGCTCCTTTTGATCCTAATTCAAACTTTGGTTGGACAGATATGGCCCATGTCCTATGTCAGCTACAGCAGGGGTCCCCAACACCTGGTTTGGGGACCGGTGCCGGTCCGTAAGTCATTTGGTACCGGGTCGCAGTGGAACACAGTGGAAACCTGTACTTCAGTTTTACTAATTTACTTCATTCAAAAGTCATATCCCTTTACTTTTTCCATTTTAAGACAATCTGCCAGTGTTTCAAAACTATAGGTCACCCAGACTGAGACACTAAGTGAAACTGAATTATTTGTCATTTACCACATCGCTGCACACCATTAAATGTGGACCTCTGCTTTTAACCCATCACCAAAGTGAGCTCACGCTCAGTGCAGCTCAGTGATAAATTGGCAGCCGATGAACTCGAACCTGAAACCGTCTAGACCCAAGTCTGCCTTCTAAACCAACAAGCCACCGGTCCGCAGTAACGGCTGGTACCGGCCGACAGGTCCTTGGTACAAAGTGGGTTAGAGATCGCTGAGCTGAAGGTATTCAGGTATCGTGAATGTATACTAAGTATCACTGCGTATACATGACAGTAATATATTCATGTAAAAGTTGATCCTTTTAGTTCCACTGAGTAATGACAACATTTTGAAGCTTCTCGCAGCAGGCGGAGAAGTTCTTTGGGGAAAATAAAGGCAAATGAAGCATCATCCTGTAATTACAAGCGGAGACACTCAATTCAGAGGACCATGTACTCTGAATTGTCTTAGCCCATTAGTTCCAAACTGGCTGAGGATTGATGGTATACACCTGTATATAATTTACAGCCGTCCAGGTCGGTTCTCTGCCTTCACACGTCAACTGCTCACGGTCAGCAGTAACAGGTGTCTGTGAAGCCATTTTACAGATTCAGGTTCTGAACACATTCAACTTATTAGAAACTCTGTGAAAGAGTTGGAAACTCTGAGCTTCTCGATCCGGGAATCATAAAGATTGACAGTTTAATGTGCTTTAAAGATTAAACATGACTCAATGATGGAGTTGAACTTCACTGCATAGACCAGAGGAAACATGAAGACTTCAACATCATAAAGTCTGGTCTGGACTTTGCCTCATTTGTTTACAACTACTTTTAATGTGTGTTTATTATGGAGCTAGAACAGTCTCAAAAAGAATAAATGCACAAACAAGGATTCACAAATGTACTTTGAAAAATTCACAAATGTATGCATGTGAAGTTATTTGTTAGTTTCATAAAATACATTTGTCTAACACTTGTCTCATTTGTGAATCCTCCCTGTTTGTGGATTTTTGAGACGAGTAGCAGTGACCAGATTCACAAATGCAGCCAGTCAGATGTCTCGTTCGTTTGCAGCCAATCACACGGCTGTATCCCCATGAGGGGCCTTGTGTGACGTCACTACATTTGTGAATTTTCAAAGTACATTTGTTTGTGCATTTATTCTATTTGACACTGTTCTAGTTCCATATTTATACTTAAACTTAAACTTAAAACTTAAACTTAAACTTATATAGACGTCTATTGTGTATAAATGTTTATATAATATTCTATGACTGTTCTAGCTCCATATTTATAGACGTCTACTGTGTATAAATGTTTATATAATATTCTACTTTTTCTTTCAACATTTCTTTCCAGCACCTTCATCATCCAAATACACCAGATATGGTCTTGGTGGAATTATGGCCTTATCTTTGCCTTGTTGACACCAGGAAAAGTAACTTTGGCCAAGACTGAAACACAGTCATTCATTTTCAAAATTGTTTGAAAATTCTGAGCACAACTCCATGTTAAGAGAAACAGAAGTAACAATCAAAAGACAACATAAAGTCCAATATGCCAAATAATCTAGATTGTGTTCATAACCAGTATTCCTAGAGTGCTCAGGTATTCGTTCTTTGTGTATTTTAATATTTAATGTTCTTTTTTGTCATCTTGGCAGTAAATTTTGTTTCCAAATGACTAAACTTTGGGGTCAGTTTGCTGACGTTTTTTCTCAGTTCTGTATAACCACGGTCCTGCTGATGTGACGTAGCTGTCAGTGATTTCTAGCGCATATATTTATGAGATTGCACTAAGGTACAAATCCAGAGTAACTTCTGACTCTGTTACACTGTACGGTCCAGCATTTACCTTGACGTCGGATCGAATAAATCAGCCGGTGGTGTTTTTAGAGAGACGACCTTCCACTGACACCTGTTCCATTAGCTGGACCTTGTTGACTAATTGAGCTCTTGGTGGGTAGTTAGATTGGTTTAATCAGGTGTGCTGGGATGTAAGGGAAGCAGCGGTTTGCCAGGCTAATGTAGCCTGTAATGACCTCCGATGTTGTGACTGTGGAGAGGGTTTTTTTTTTCTTTTACTCCCAGTGGACGGAATCAACAGCAAAGACTGAAGCTGTTGGAGGAGGAGGTGAAGGAGGAGGAAGAGGAGGAGGAGGAGGAGGTCTATATGGTACTTACTGAGGAAACTCTGGGTTGTAGAGAGTCGGCTGAAGGATTCCAGCAGGAAAAACTGCAAACGAAAACAAGAGAGAGGTGGAAAAGCTGGCACGCCTTCGCAGCACAGACGGCATATGAATAAGAACATTTTTAATGCAAAAGTATACATTTACTTCTGCATTCCACTTTACATTTATTAAACAAAAAAACAAACAAACTGTGAATACAATTTTTAATCTGTGTTTTGTGTCGACACTGAAGAGGCTTTAAATATTTTGCAGTATAAATAATGGATAAACAAGATATTAAATTCATGGATAATACAAATAAACACAATATTTAAAGTCGGGTTAACTTTTGGTTGTGTTTTTAATGGTTGTTTACTGCACATTTATTTTTTTCGTCAACAGTGATTGAGTACCAAGGCATCGTAACATTATTAAAAAATGTCTTAAAAAACTGTGTATATATTTCTCTTCAGGTTTACAGATGAGAGAAAAATGTAGGGTTTTTTTTCTATTTGTGACTAACAAATGATGAAATTATTAATATGGAAAAATATGGAAAATAATAACTATCATAACTTGCTCTTTTGTAGTTTTGTAGTAGTAACTAAACCAAAGCTCAAATCCAAGGCCAGACAGACCATAATATTTATATATAATATTTTAATTTTAAATTATACAAGTTGTATATTTCTTGCTGTATTTGGATATAAAACTGTTTTAGAAGCCACTTATTCCATTTACACGCTGTGTCATAAGCCGGTGTTTTTTCACAGGTGGAGTGACGGCTGAAGACCAACCTCTGGATGCTCTTGGGCTGCGAACCTCTCCGTATTTAACCAGTAAATTGTTTAAATTGATGTGACTAAATGGTAGAAAAAAACCCGAAACGACGGGACACAAAGAAAAAACCCGAAACAACGGCACACAAAGGTGAGGTGAGGAGCGATGGAGTCGGGTTAAGTGAGAGAAATCATGTGTGCAGCTTAAACCAAATGACCTCAGAGGCACTGACGACTGTGTTTGTCTGACTCCTCTTGTCCTCTAGCACTGGCTCTCCAGCGCTGCATTGATTTTCCTGGGAGAGATTTAATGCAGCAGGCAGCCACAGACACAGTGAGGCTGGGAGCAGGTGAGGAGGGAGGGCTGACATCGCCAGGCTACATTTGTTAAAAGTCAGGAAGGTGTCACTGCTTGTTTTCCCTCCAGGGCTGTATCAAGTATGTGGGGTGTGTGTGGGGATGGAAGCAGAACGTAGAGAAGGTACACGTGATGACAGGCAATATGATATGAGGCAGTGGAGGGCGCTCTTTCTAAGTGGCCGTCGTGTTTGGCATCCACAGAACAGGCAGCAACATGGTGTAATTGTGTGTAACTGATGTGAGGTCCATGTCATGGTGCAGAATAGTAAGAGCCGGAGACATGTCGGTGTGTGTGTGTGTGTGTGTGTTTGTGTGTTTGTGTCAGACAAATATCAGTATGTAGAAGAAATCCTCTCTCACTCACCCATTTGGTTCTTGTTTGGGAGATAGTAGGCGTTTAGAGTCTGAGGAGGGTGAAGCCACCTGAGGAGAAAAAACACCATCATACAGGGACAAGTAACACACACACACACACACACACGTATGTGCAGAACCATGCATAGACACACACATTTTTTTTTGTGTTTTAAAAAGTTGTTATTCACTTCCTGGCCCGGGGATCTGCCAGCTGTGGCTCCTGGGCCACATGTGGCTCTTAAGCCTGTTAGCATTAGCTTCCTGCCATGGATATAATTCAGTCTGACTGTGACACATTAGACCAGGATTATAGATACGTAGCAGATAATGAGTAACGTGCCGTAAAACAATTGTTAGCTTGTTTTCTCGCTCGCGGCACAACAACATAACGGTGCCGTTCTGTTACCTGAGAGAAAAACAACAAAATGCAAAAAAACAACAACTTTCTTTTCTTTATATATTTGTAGTAATACTAGAGTACTCATACCTTTATGTACTGCACTACTGCCATCATTGAAATGGACCAAATGTTTTGGCAGGTCTTATTGATTTTCATGTGCTTGTATCATGAGAAAAATGACTCTTTAGTTGTTGAAGATTTCAGACAGTCCTAGTCCTAGTCCTAGTCCTAGTCCTAGTCCTAGTCCTAGTCCTAGTCCTAGTCCTAGTCCTAGTCCTAGTCCTAGTCCTAGTCCTAGTCCTAGTCCTAGTCCTAGTCCTAGTCCTTGACCTTAACTAAGACAAATATCTGCATAATCCTCGTTCTGACTCTTCAACTTAACTCACAGTAACCTCTGTGGATATAAAGTCGATGGAATCATCCTTTGTTTGAAATATTTCACATCACAGGACACACAGGACTTGTCCATCAACTGTTTTCCCCACAGACTGACTGTAAAATGCAGATTTTTTTCCATGGAGTTTGGTGGTGGAAAAGTTTTTTTAAAAAAAGAACCCACGAGACAGACAACAGCCATATAGAGAATCATATTTTTCATTATATCAAACTCCTAGTTGATATATTTTCACTGCTGAGATGTTGCAATAAATTTGAGTAAAATTAAAGTGACAAAGAGTCACAGCTACACTTTGAGCAGGATTTTAATTTTTTTTTTACTACTTGTGAAGTTGCATATTTTCTATGTTCAAAAGAAAAGAAAAAAAAAAGAATGGATTTACTTTTTACATTAGTTAGTACAGGGGGCGCTCACTGCACAGTCAGCACTGACTGTCATTACCTCGAACAACCTGATTTCAAAAAAATTTAAAAAATGGAAATCTCACTTTCACCAAATCCTTCAGCTTCAGGAATAACAAAGAAATGACAAATATCTTCAGACTGGGTGTTGACATCACTATTAATATAATGTCGTATGATGTTTGAAGGTGAGGACTGGTATTTTGTCCCCATTTAAAAAAAGATCAGTGGCTGCGATGTGGCTGTGAGAACGCATACAGGACCGCACACAAACACGCACAGATGGTGAAGAGAATCTCAAACACCTCTGTTTATCTCTCTCTCTCTCTCTCTCTCTGTCTCTCTCTCTGTGTGTCTCCCTGAACTCCCTGATGAGAAAGCCTCAGTGTGTGTGGTCCCACAGTCGAAGTCCCTCACTCCCTGCATCTGAAACTGCGCAGAGTTCCTTTATGGTAATCCACTTAATGCCAGACTAATCGATTGGCACGAAATCTCCCAGGCGGATAACTCCGAGCGCGCACGATGCCCTTGTTTTTTTGGATTGGGAGAATGATGGCTCGGCGCGGACCGCAGATAGACGGACGGGAGATAAATATTGAGATGAGGAGTGATGCGTTATTTATTTCCCAGCCCTGAGACAGAGTGACTGATGAAAGGTTCATGTTTTGGTGATACGAAGGGGGTGGGGGGGGGGAGGGGGGGGGGGATTTAACTCTTGAGGGCACCAGGTCTTGAGGGCACCAGGAGTGCGGACTAATGATACATTTGTTTTGAGCACCTTGGAATACTAATGCGGCAGTAAAGTGTTGTCAAAGTAGAGAGGCGCTCAATCCAGGCATCCAGAGCTCCATTAGGAAAAAAAAAAAAAAAAAATCCCACAGCACTTTCTGCTGCCTGGCTCTTCCAGATAAGTAAATCAAATGGATTTTCTCCGGCTGAGCATGTCGATATGATATCTGTTGGTTTAATTTAGGAGCTCATCAGAAAAATATGTTAAACTATAAAAGGATTCACGAGGACACATGTTCGGCGTGTCAGACACATCAGTGGGAGCGGCGCTCACACTGGAGGAGGTGCAGCGCTGGGTGTGGGTCTCAGAGAACAACACAAACATCTGAACCTCCATTAATTACTCTGGCCCACATGTCTGTGCGAGCAGACGCTAAAGCTAATGCTAATGCTAATGGTACTGCTGCTGCTATGATGGCGATGACTCACACTGTCTTGTCCACCTCTTCGTGGATCTTCTTCACGGCCAGCTTGATGTTGAACTGGATGCTGTTGAGGATGTTCTTGAAGTACGTCTTTTCATCCACGTGAAACTGCAGAGCCAAGAACACGACATACCGTGAGTGTGAGCCGCGAGTTCCTTTACGAGGGAAAAAAATAATGATTTTTAATTAATTGCCAAATATTGACAGCAAGCGACCCAAATTATTTTTCTGCCGCCTGAAAGGTTCAATTGCATAAAAAAAGCCATTTCAACCGTTTCATTTAAATTTTCAATAGTCACTACATACCTGCCTACAAACATAGTAACTCAGTTCAGCTGTTGTAGTAGAATTTAATTTTTTGCCATTCACAAAACATCAGGGGAGTCCCGGTTTTGAAAAGTATCATTCAGCGTAATGAAACATACAAAACTATAACTCAGCTTAATTAACAAAAATGAAATTTAATTAAATTTAAGGAGGCCGCAGAGAGGAGCAGCAGGAACTTTCACATTTTGTGGTTACTCCACGCCTGAGTCAAAACAAGAAACATTTTAATTACCAGAGAATGAGTACAAGCACACTACAACTGTTGATGTAGGCGATGGAAACTGAGGCTCTGAGTGAAAAGGATAAAGAAAAAACAGCTATTCTTGGACCTAAGAACCTGTGGACGGTATTAGCTTAGCCTTCCTGTTAAATGTCAAACCATCTGTTTTTCCTGGTGTCCCCAGTTGCAGCCATGTTTACGCTAAGCGTAATCATCCGTGCCTTAATCCGGTTCTGTTGCCGGAGGTTGAATGCCCAGAGACGTCAGCTCTGTCTATCTGTACTGCCTCATTCAGGCACACGGTGAAAATGGCCTAAAGACAAGTTTGACATGTTTTTGGTAGTTTGCCGTCACCGCTCTCTTTCTTAGCAATGACAGAGATGAGTGGATTGACATTGTTGTAGTTCAGAATACTAATTATGAACAATAATAGATAAGACTGGGCGCGCTCTAATCACATGACACCCTCAGGGTGTAATTTATTAGCTTTGTTTTTTATTTTTTTTTTAGGTTATTGTTACAACCAAACTGACATGACAGGCAGTGATGCTGCGGCAGAGACAAGTGGTGAAGACATTATTGTTACTGGCAAACTGACATGACAGGCAGTGACGCTGCGGCAGAGACAAGTGGTGAAGACAGCAGCAGAATATCCAGTAAATATTAAAATGAACTGTTAATGTATTAAAGTGTAAAATGTTGCTTTGACTGTATGAGGTCCAAACTCGGTACCCCTAGCAAGGCAAAGTCTTAGCTAAAAGAAAAAAGACAAAAAGTCTATATATATATATATATATATATATATATGTGTATATATATATATATATATATATATATATATATACATATAT